GAGCCTCTCTCCCCGCAGCAGCTACGCAAGTGGTACGCTCGCCGTCAGGGTCGCGCTGGTGGAGCTCGGGGCTCTACCACGGGAGGCGATTCTACTGACGGTGCTGGAGCTGGGAGTGGTGCTGGTACTTTGTCTGCTGGAGGTGCTGGAGTCGCTAGTCCCGGAGGTGCTCGTACTGGAGGTACTGGGGCTGGAGGTGCTGGGTCTTGGGGTGCTGCTGCTGGAGACACTGAGACTGGAGACCCTGGGACTGGAGGTGTCGGTTCTGGGGGTGCTGCTGCTGGAGACACTGAGGCTGGAGACCCTGGGACTGGAGGTGCCGGTTCTGGGGGTGCTGCTGCTGGTGGCGCTGGTACTGGAGGTGCTGGCGCTGGAGGTTCTGGAGCTGCTGGAGGTACTGGAGCTGGAGGCACTGGAGCTGGAGGTTCTGGAGCTGCTGGCGCTGGAGGTACTGGCACTGGAGGCGCTGGAGCTGGAGGTTCTGCGGCTACTGGGGGTGCGAGAGCTACTGGTGCTGGTGTCCCTGCACAGTCGCGGCTGTTCTTCACTCCACCGTCACCGTCGTCGCAGCTGCCACCGCCTGACTCCGTGCTTCGCCAGGTTCTTAGCCTCCCGTCTTCTACTGGTCTTCCGTTACAGCCTGGCTCACCACTGCCTGCTCCTTCTCCTTACACTGAGCAGACAGGAGGTCCTGCTGAACGCGTAAGCCTGCGTCTCGTCCTGTCTCGCCTGTTCGCACTGGTCGCACTGGTAGTCGTGTTCCTCGTGAGCTTCCGCCTGCTGTTCCCGGCATGCACCTCATGGTACTACGTCCTTCCTCTGTTCCACAGCGTGTTCCTCTGCCGTCTCCTCCTGCGTCCTCTTTGCCTGACGTCGCGGACCCTGAGTCTGACCGGTTTCGTGCTGCGCACCCTACTGTCACGCGTCTGTTAGCCACTGTTGTCACTGACCCGTCGTTTGAGTCTGCTGCTACGTCTGCCTTAGTCGCTGAGCTTGTTGACTTTGCTGCTGCCTGTCGTCTAGACTACGCCGCTAGTCTTGTTGCTGAGTCTGAGTCTGTCTGTCCTCCGTCCGTCGGGGGTGAGTGTGCTCTTGGCACGGACGTCCTTGAGGACAGGCACGAGGACCTTGAGTGTCTTGCAGCCGCTGCGCCTCATCTCGTGGCCATGCTGCTTGCCCCTCAGGGAGACCCGGATGCACCAGACATCCCGACCCCGCGCTCTTACGCTGAGGCGATCGCGGGTGAGTACTCCTCTCAGTGGCAGACAGCCATGGACGCAGAGATGGCATCCTGGAAGTCCACAGGCACTTACGTCGATGAGGTTCCCCCTCCTGGGGCGAACATCGTCGATGGCATGTGGATTTTCAGGGTGAAGCGGCCGCCGGGTTCTCCGCCTGTCTTCAAGGCTCGTTACGTTGCTAGAGGCTTCAGTCAGCGTGAGGGAGTTGACTTCTTCCAGACCTTCTCCCCTACCCCGAAGATGACCACTCTTCGGGTGCTGCTGCACGTTGCCGCTCAGCGTGACTACGAGCTTCACTCTCTTGACTTCAGCACAGCCTTCTTACAGGGTAGCCTGCACGAGGAGATCTGGCTGCACCGCCCACCTGGCTTCACTAGGTCGTTCCCTCCTGGTACCCAGTGGAGCCTCCACCGGCCAGTCTACGGTCTCCGCCAGGCGCCGCGTGAGTGGCACGACACACTGGGGACTACACTTGCGGTTCTTGAGTTTGCTCCTTCGACTGCTGACCCATCGCTGTTTCTGCGCACCGACACTTCGCTGCCGCCGTTCTACATCCTCGTGTACGTCGACGACTTGGTCTTTGCCACTGCTAACACTGAGGCTCTCGCCCTGGTGAAGTCGGAGCTGCAGAAGAGACACACGTGCACAGACCTGGGTGAGCTGCGCAGCTACCTTGGCTTGCAAATCACCCGGGACAGAGCACGCCGCACCATCACACTGACTCAGTCACACATGGTGCAGCAGGTCCTTCAGCGCTTCGGCTTCACCTGGTCCTCAGCACAGCCCACTCCTCTGGCTACAGGTCACTCGCTCTCAGCTCCACCTTCGGACGAGTCCGTAGAGCCGAGTGGTCCTTACCTAGAGCTAGTGGGCTGCCTCATGTACTTGATGACCTGCACTCGTCCTGACCTTGCGTACCCTCTTGGCCTTTTGGCTCGCTACGTGGCTCCTGGTCAGCACCGAAAGGTGCACATGGATGCTGCTAAGAGGGTACTGCGCTACCTGTGCAGTACATCGGGCATGGGGCTCGTGCTTGGAGGACGGGGCGACGTTGTCCTCACTGGACACTCTGACGCGTCTTGGGTTGACGACCAGGCTACCCAGCGGTCGTCACAGGGTTACACCTTCAGCCTTGGCTGTGGCCTTGTTTCTTGGCGGTCTACGCGCTCGTCTTCTGTTCTCAGCTCCAGTTGTGAGGCTGAGATCTACGCCACAGCCATGGCTGCACAGGAGTTACGCTGGCTCACCTACCTGCTGACTGACTTGGGAGAGCGGCCTCGTTCTCCTCCAGTTCTGTACGTTGACAACAAGGCCGCCATTGCCTTGTGTCAGGAGCACAGACTGGAGAACAGAACGAAGCACATCGCTCTTCGTTACTTCCTGGCTCGAGAGTTGCAGCAGCGCGGTCAGCTTCGTCTTGCTCACGTGGCCACTCGGGCCAACACTGCTGATATATTCACCAAGGCACTTCCGTCTGGTGATCATCAGCGTTTTTGCACTTTGTTGGGCCTTGTGCCTACGTTTCCTCACTTGCTGTAGACTCTGCTTGTACTGTGATCTATATATATATACCTGCATGCTTGCTCTTGCTAGGTGGTGATCAGTGTGCTGTTGTTGTTGTTGCATATATACCTCTGCATGTGAACTGGCCTTGTGGCCCTTTGCTTGTGCTCAGTGTGTGTGGTGACGTTGTGATCCACCCTGAGCTTGCTTTGCTTTTCTTGACTGGTCTTGTGACCTCTTGCTCTCCCCCACTTTGCCTATGGGGGTGTGTCAAATTATATACATGTTGTATGTGTGTAGGCTGTAGTGGGGTAGCCAATATGGGGTATAGCCCATTAGGGTTTCATATTTGTACCAAACCTCATTCTAGTTCACTCATTCCTGCCTAGCATTTTCAACATTGTGCTTGTTATTTATACTGTGCTAGAAAAATACCATGTAATATCACATTGTGAGAGTCTCCCATAACCTTCCATTCCAGGGATCTTGCTTTGCGTGTCGTGGCGGCGCAATGCCGTGTGGAGCAATGCAATGCACCTGGATAGGGCCAAATAAGAATGCACCTCAGGCTCTTAACACATTTTACATATGGAGCCTCGTACGAGCTTCGTGCGTAAGGTTGCCAGAATCTACTCGGGCTGATGAAGGCAGCGTTGCACATGTGTCAAGGGCCGCTGCAGTGGGCTCATAGATGGATAGCAGTGGGCTCACAGATGGATGGCAGTGGGCTCACAGATGGATGGCAGTGGGCTCACAGATGGATGGCAGTGGGCTCACAGGGTGGATGGCAGTGGGCTCACAGATGGATGGCAATGGGCTCACAGATGGATGGCAGTGGGCTCACAGATGGATGGCTATGGGCTCACAGATGGATGGCAGTGGGCTCACAGATGGATGGCAATGGGCTCACAGATGGATGGCAGTGGGCTCACAGATGGATGGCAATGGGCTCACAGATGGATGGCAGTGGGCATCACGCCGCTTTGCTCTGCGCCGCTTTGCTCCGTGCCGCTTTGCTCCGCGCCGCTTTGCACCACGCAGCTTTGCTCCGCGAGACGTTGCGTCTTGGGGAGTTTCGTTGGCGGCGGCAGCAGGAGTGGCAGGTGCGGGGATGGAAGCGAAGGGATCAGCATGGCGAGGTGGGTCGAGGCGACCAGTGTTGGTGGGCGCTCGTGGCGAATGCAGCGAGGCGCGCGGAGAGCAGCGAGAGTCGGAGACTTTGTCGACCGGCTGAGGCTCCGTGAAACAATCTCGCTCGGCCGAACGGCCGAGCTTCGTAGGCAAGAAATAATCTCCAATGCTGAATCTCCAACGCTGAAATCCAGAAATTCATGGTTTTTTATCCTGATAACATAGACCCTCAACTTCATGGTAATGCTGTTTTGTTTACAGTTGGCCAAAATTGGCTTCTGATGAATGGAACTGTACATGGTTGTGGAAATGATACTAAAGGGTGGATGCTACGCTTACAGCACCCTCCAACCCCCGCGCCGTGCTGCCTCCAGCACGTAGAACGACTTCGCAGTCACAGCGCGTCTCACGGGCACCTACATCAAGGCGCCAGGTGACCAGCAGGTTATCGGATGCGGCTCGCAGGCAGGCACCGCCAAACATTTCGCCGTCGCTAACGGAGCACACGCGTTGGGCGCAGCTGAATCTGTTGAATCGTGTTCCGTCGCGTGGCTTCCGCGCTGGCAAGACACCAGCTGCGTTATCCAATCAGTACTACTAGTAGTAGTTTCGCGAGAAAATCGCGAATGCCGCAGCGAAAGGAAGGGGAGGAACTCGCATGGCGCAGCACGACCCACCTCCGCCCTCCGTTCCTATATGAGCATCAAACGCGTGTCTCATTCTGTTCGCAGCCATCAGCTTTAGTAGGCACTCATTATCATCCACTCGATTCACGCTTTTTAAGATTGCCTCAAACTCGACGTCGCAACCCCGTTTTGTCACGCGGTTCCAAATGGCCCGGATGACGTCGCTCTCTCACTCGCCGTCGCTCGGCGTTAAGCGCCTCGCCGTCGTCATCGCTGGTGAGCCCCGCGTCGCCTGACATTTCACACGACATATGTGGCCTCCTCGCCTGGTCATTCATGTCGCCCCGTCGTTCTGCCATGTCGCCCCGTCGTTCTGCCATGTCGCCCCGTCGTTCTGCCATGTCGCCTCGTCATTGCGAATGTCGTCTCGTCGTCCTGCCATGTCGCCTGTCATGTCGTCTCGTCGCCCTGTCGTCACCTCGTTCGCCCGGAACGACAGTGTCGCGACGTCTTCCTGGAAAGTTCGCCGCCCACACGGGTCGTTCCGCGGAGGCATCGCCGCGCGCCAGCGGATGTGCAACATCACAGCCATCGACAGCCCCAGACGGCCTGCCCACATCGCCTCCGCACTTCGCCCTCGTTTCCCTCCCCACAACAGGTACCTCTCCGCACAAGCCTGTCGCCTCTTCCAAGCCTTCCTGACCGCGGATACCTGTTTCCCCCATGCTTCGCTCTGCTGTTTCCTCCATGATTCGCCACTCTTCCCCATGCTTCGCACCGCTGTTTCCTCCACACCCCTCGCCTTGGCAGCACTGCTCTCGCTCTCCCTCTGCTGCGCAGCGCGTGGCGGCGCGCGTCGAGAGCTGCTGGATGCGAGTGACGGCCTCGTGACTGGAACGGACAGCGGCAGCACGAGCGGCGGTAGCAGTGGCAGCACGAGCGGCGGCGACAGTGGCAGCACGAGCGGCGGCAGCACGGAGATCGAACTCATTGAAGCAGTAAACAATCCAGCCGAGCCCGAGCTTATTGAAGCAGTAAACAATGAACCCGAACTGATTGGAGTTGTAAGCACTGGCAGCAGCTCCAGCTCCATGAGCGGGGGCAGCAGTGTGAGCGCGGGGGACACTGGGGGCTCCACCCTTGTGTCGAACCGTGACAGCGGATCGAGCATAAGCGGCGGCAGCATTGGGAGCACCACTGGGAGCAGCACTGGGAGCAGCAGCACTGGGAGCAGCAGCACTGGGAGCAGCAGCACTGGGAGCAGCAGCACTGGGAGCAGCAGCACTGGGAGCAGCAGCACTGGGAGCAGCAGCACTGGGAGCAGCAGCACTGGGAGCAGCAGCACTGGGAGCAGCAGCACTGGGAGCAGCAGCACTGGGAGCAACAGCACTGGGAGCAGCAGCACTGGGAGCAGCAGCACTGGGAGCAGCAGCACTGGGAGCAGCAGCACTGGGAGCAGCAGCACTGGGAGCAGCAGCACTGGGAGCAGCAGCACTGGGAGCAGCAGCACTGGGAGCAGCAGCACTGGGAGCAGCAGCACTGGGAGCAGCAGCACTGGGAGCAGCAGCACTGGGAGCAGCAGCACTGGGAGCAGCAGCACTGGGAGCAGCAGCACTGGGAGCAGCAGCACTGGGAGCAGCAGCACTGGGAGCAGCAGCACTGGGAGCAGCAGCACTGGGAGCAGCAGCACTGGGAGCAGCAGCACTGGGAGCAGCAGCACTGGGAGCAGCAGCACTGGGAGCAGCAGCACTGGGAGCAGCAGCACTGGGAGCAGCAGCACTGGGAGCAGCAGCACTGGGAGCAGCAGCACTGGGAGCAGCAGCACTGGGAGCAGCAGCACTGGGAGCAGCAGCACTGGGAGCAGCAGCACTGGGAGCAGCAGCACTGGGAGCAGCAGCACTGGGAGTACCGGCGAGTCTGTAGATCTGAATGCCCCCATCAGATGTGAGTGCATGAACATACACACACATGCACATTCACACGCACGTGCACATGCACACACACATGCACATGCACATGCACATGCATCAACCCCAGACACCTCGTGCCACTTCAAGACTGGCTAAAAGCTGCTGTGGATAATTGAAATTTCCATCTCTTAAAATGTCAACTTTAAAGTTTCTTTTAATAGGAGCCAGCACTTCATTGAAGCGGCCAATCAGCTGCTGCTGCTGCTGCTGCTGCTGAATTTCATGAGGTTTACGTCTTCCTGCGTAGGTTGCAGACTGGCTCTACTTCTACTGCATGCCATTCGCTGCCTGCTTAAATGTCTCAACTGTGTCCTCTTCTGCCCGGCATGTGTGTCCTCTTCTGCCCGGCATGTGTGTCCTCTTCTGCCTGGCATGTGTGTCCTCTTCTGCCTGCCGCGTGTGCCCTTGGCGTGTGTCCTCGTCTGCCCGCTGCAGATCGAGCTTCCTCAGTGCTCAGCTCACAAACCAACATGAGCGCCAACTTCAATGTGGATGTGAACATGTGAGTGCACGTCACTCGTTCCCTTTCTAATCACAGCACGGTCACAACCTCTGCGCAGATGTTGCTCATCCCAGTTCCCACACGTTCCTCGCCTTAAATGAACTCGATTCTCCATTTTGCCTCGTACACAAAAATGTGAACACAATCCGTTCCTTTGCTCTGTCTGTCTCTCGCCCCTGCATCTCACCGCTCCGTCTCACCCCTGCAACTCACTCCACCCATTCACATCACAGCACATCGGCGCAGCAGAGGGCGCTCTTCACCTTCACCGTGAAGGCCGTGCCAAAGACCCCAGTGCCCGTCTTCTCCAACTCCTCCTACCGCACCAACTCGGGCCAGCTCGTGGCCACGTTTGCGTGCGTGCCCAAGCCCATGACCATGGTTGGCATCTACCTGTGCACGGCCAGTTCTCTCACCAACCTCACGGTGCCATTCAGGCCAGTGAACAGGCCCAAGGCGCTGGTGGATGCGGGGTTCTTCTCGAATCCCAGCGGCTTCTACTCCACCATCACTGTGAACGGCGTGACGCTGCGCGGCGGGATCACGGCCTCTGTTGCTAACCTGTGATCGGTTGACTTGTGAGTCGGCTCAAAGGTCTGCTCTTTCAGGCCGGTGAACAGGCCCAAGGCGCTGGTGGATGCGGGGTTCTTCTCAAATCCCTTAGGCTTCTACTCCATCAAAGTGAACGGCGTGAGGCTGCGCGGTGGGATCACCTCCTCTGTTGCTAACCTGTGATCACCCGGGCCATGTCTTGTTATTGATGCATTACTTTAGTTGGGCCGTAGGATTGAGGCAACACCTGGATGGCAATAAACTGTCAGAGTGGGTCAATTGTTGTAATTTTCTTAGCTGGTTCTGTATAAGTAAGTTACCCATCTGCTTCCCAATTAAAGAATTTCGAGAGAAACCTACGGTACCAGAAGTTGCGGTGGTGCAGGGAGGTGGGGAGCAATGCAAGGCACTGGATAACACCACATAAAAAAAACCCCCAAGGCTCAGAACACTTGCATGCTACAAATGAAGCCTTGACGCATACCGTAACTTCATCCGTCGTGTGAAACGTCAGTTGACCAACCCTGGCCGATGGAGACAGCACTGCAGATGTGCCAAGGGTCGCCCCAGTGAGCACGATGGGTTCATTAAGCACCCACCTCGCTTGGAACCCACTGCACATGGAGACGGATGACTTTTGAGTCGACTCAAAAGTCACCTCGCTTGGAACCCACTGCACATGGAGACGGATGGCAGTGAGCGTGATGAGCGCATGGTGCTTAATGGGGATGGTGGCAGCTGCCGGTGCTGAGAGGGTGCAGAGTGATGGCTGCCGGGAGGCCCGCAGCGAGGTGGGCGTGGATTTTTGAGTCGACTAAAAAATCGACTCACTACACGCCGGTGCTGAGAGGGTGCACAACGATGGCTGCCGGGAGGCCTGCTGCGAGGTGGGCGTGGAGGGGCTCTGGGACCTGTGGAGAGGGGCGGTGGGGAAGGACATGGGAGGAGAGAAAAGAGAGGGGGGGAGAGAAAGGAGAAGGGGGGGGAGAGAAAGGAAAGGGGGGGAGAGAAAGGAGAGGGGTGGAGAGAAAGGAGAGGGGTGGAGAGAAAGAAGAGGAGCGGTTAGGAAAGGAGGGAGAGGGGCACAGAGAAAGGAGAGTGGCGGAAAGAAAGGAGAGGGGCAGAGGGAGAGGAAGCGGAAGGGAAGCATATGAGCTGGTGAGAGGGAGCTCCACACGCGCAGTACAGGCCCCAAAATTGATGAACGCTACAGGGCTCACCATGAGATGCTGCAGGCGTCGCATGCTGCAGGCGTGGCATGCTGCAGATGAGCTCCTTCACACTGCCTTTTAAAGCGCCTCAAAAGTCATCCCAGAACGCTACAGGGCTCACCATGAGATGCTGCAGGCGTGGCATGGCGCAGATGAGCTCCTTCACGCTGCCTGACCCGCCCACCGCCACGGCTCCTCTGTTATCCCCACCTGCTCCCTCCACATCCTCCACGCGCCCCCCATGGCCCGCAGGTTTGCTCTCCTCAGTTGATGCGATGGCCATGCCTCCTGCTGCAGTGGATCCCTGTGGCATGTGGTCAGTTGCAGTAGCACCAGGAGCACCAGGGGCGCATGGCAGTGCTGTGATTGGCAGCCTGGGAGAGGGCAGTGGGAGGAGGAAATAGGGAAGGGCATGAGAGCAGTGGGTTCACGGAAGCGACATCTTGTTGACCAATTGCCACAAGCATAACAAGTGACCAACACAGCACCTGTGCGAGGGTAGCAGGCAGCACGTGGCGACGTGCATGGACAGCGGTTGAAAGGGCGAGATGGTAATTGGCACGACCTCAGGATGAGTCTGCGGGGAAGAAAGGCAATGGACAGAGGGGGTGGGAGATCAAGAAAGGAGAAAATGCCCGATAAGCAAGAAGGTTGAAGGGGCAAGAAGGTTGAAGGGCAAGAAGGTTGAAGGGGCAAGAAGGTTGAAGGGGCGTGGAGAGCAAGTGGCGAGACGAGGAGGAATGGCGTGCAAGGAAAGTGTTAAGAATGAGTGACTTATAGCAGGTTATGGTGATGAGAGTAAGATGCATTGAACACCCAATGACACACAAATTCACACCCAATGGCGGTCGACAATAGGAGTGTACCTCGAGCAGCAGCAGAAGAGCACGGCTGTCCCCGCCCCACAGGTGAATCATATCCACTGCTGGACCCACACGCAGTGAGGCGTGGGCGGCAAACACAACACACGGGCCGTGTTGCTGCTGTGATTGGAGGGGTGGCAAGCCAAGAAGCAATCAAGGTAAATCACGTGGTTAATTTGGTTATTTCCTGCTGTTTTCGAATGGTTTGTTTGTTTTTTTTTTTTTTTAATATTTGACGGCTGGTGAACTGGAGCATGGAGTTGGGCAACATGGATCTTCTTTCGCCTCCTGCAACCATCCCCCCCCACCTCCCCCATCCCCCCCGCTCCACCTCCCCCCCCTCCTCCCCCTTTTCTTTTCCCCATTCCTTCATTCATTCCTAGCTGTTGCCTTTAAGCCCTCTTCCATCGCTTACTCGTCTCTCCTTCTTTCTTGTGCAGCTTATTACCAAGCAGTTCGTACCGGTCTCTGGCACATTGATTTACAACGGCATTTCTCAATCATCTTCAGTTATCAATTTTAGTTAGCCATTTCTTCACTCACTTAATTGTGTTATCATGCATTTTAAGGCATATAACCTGTCACCAATGCACAGCAGACGCCTGGAAAAATACCAACTGTACACTCCAACATAAGCACCTATTACAAAAATTCTCTGATAAGTAGAGTTCTCCACTCCAGGAATTCTTCTTCAGAAGAGTGGTTAGGGGTGAGGGCTGGGGCGGTGGCGGCGGCGGCGGGGGTTGGAGGCGAGGAGGGTGGCGGAGGCAATGACGATGGCACGGTCCTCATCGGCTGCGATGAGCGAGACGGCGTGCCTTCCACAAGCACAGCGCCACACTCCATGGAACCCTCCTTAGAAGAGCGGCGAGGGCAGCGGGTTGGGGCGGTGGCGGCGGCGGCGGGGGTTGGAGGCGAGGAGGGTGGTGGAGGCGTTGATGATGTCACAGTCCTCGTCTGCTGCTATGAGCGAGACAGCGTGGGGGTTGGCGAGCAGCAGCTTGGCTGTCAGGTACCCTGCGATGCTCCACGTCTGGTGCAACCTCGCCTGCTTGCCTATAAATCGGCCTCGCCTGGCAGGACACAGTGGGGGGAGGGTATGGGTGAAGAACAGTGTGAGGATATGAATGTGGGAGTGTGTGAGCGACACATGATGTATATGATCACAGAAGGACCTTGTTGTTCCAGTGTAGGCTTTGACCCTTATGCTGTAGCTTTTACCACTGCACAGTACCTCATGTAACAGCACAGTACCTCAATTTACAGCACCGCCACCTCACAGCACCTTTTGTCAGTGCACAGTACCCCATGTCACCGCACAGCACCTCGTCTCACAGCACAGTACCTGGTGTCATAGTATTCGGGCCAGCGGTCGGCCTGCAGGCGCTGCTCTGCGAGGGCCACAGCGCGCTGTGCCAGGTGGGGGCGACCCATCTTGATGCACGCTGCTGTCAGCGGCCACAGCAGCACCGGCCATGAGCCCCCGTTGTGGTACGACCATGCTCTGCAAGGGAGAGCCAAGGGTTGGGACGGAGGAGGGGGGAAAGGAGTAGGGGGGAGGAAGGGTTAGGTTTTGGGAAGGGAGTAACAAGAAACAAGTGCGCATGCTTCAACATACAACGAGTGGCACAACCACAACAATACTACCACATCCCACCGGACAGATAACTGCCATTGTGGTTCTGCATCCGTCATGTGCTTCCGGAGGGAGAGCGCTGAAGGGAAGGGAGGGGAAGGATAGCAAACACATCCGAACGCAGCGGGCACCTATCCCACCGAAACCTCAAGTGACCTTGGCTTCTGCTCCTACTGCCAGACCCCATTGCCTCCATGCACCCACTCCATGCACCCGTGTTGTTGGCCTTCTTCCTCAGTCTCCCATTTAACTCACATGTTCTTCGGGTCGGCCCCAGTGATAATGCGCCACTCGCCGTTCTCCAGCGCGGAAAAAGCAGATCTTCATGGGCATGCCGCCCACCAGCTCGTCCCACTTCCCTAACCCCCCATCACACTTCCCACCCCTCCCACCCCCTTTTGACTCACGTGTTCTTCGGGTCAGCCCCAGTGATGATCCGCCACTCGCCATTCTCCAGCGCGGGAAAGCAGATCTCCATGGGCATGCCGCCCACCAGCTCCTCCCACTTCCCTAACCCCCCATCACACCTCCCACCACCCCTCCCACCCCTTTTTGACTCACGTGTTCTTGGGATCAGCGCCAGTAATAATCCGCCACTCGCCGTTCTCCAGCGCGGGGAAACAGATCTTCATCGGCATACCCCCCACCAGATCCTCCCACTTCTCCTCCACGAGATCCAAAATCGCCTCCGCCTGCTGGTGCGACGCGAGGCTACTCACAATCGCCCACAAATTCCCCAGCGCAAACCACCGGAAGTCCATGTGCGCAGGCTGAACATTCCCCACAAAGTACCCGCCCCTGTCCGGAATCCAGTCCATGAGCCACGGGGGGATCTGATCCGGGTAGATGTTGAACTTGTTGACGGCGTCGTGGGAGTATTCCTCGGTTTTGAAGCGGTAGATGGTGTTGAGGGCGGGCAGGTCGAGCCAGTAGTAGCGGCGGATGTGGAAGGCGAGGGCGGTGAGCCGCGCGTTGACGGCGCGGATGAGGTCGATGCTGTCTCCTTCGGGAATCAGCATGTCTCGCGCTGCTCTCAGGGCGCCGTACAGGAGGGACTGCACAGTGGGAAGGGGGCAGGATAGGGGATGGAGGGTGGATCGTGAGACCGTAAGCCCTATGCCCTAACCCCTCCTCGGTTTTGAAGCGGTAGATGGTGTTGAGGGCGGGCAGGTCGAGCCAGTAGTAGCGGCGGATGTGGAAGGCGAGGGCGGTGAGCCGTGCGTTGACGGCTCGGATGAGGTCGATGCTGTCTCCTTCGGGAATGAGCATGTCGCGCGCTGCTCTCAGGGCGCCGTATAACAGAGACTGCAGGGGGAGGGTGGGGAGGGGTGGAATGGGATTGGAAAGGGTGGGTGAGGTGGTGAGGCAGGTATAACGAACACAGCATGTCCTGCACTGCTCTCAGGGCGCCGCATAGAGACACTGGCATGGTGGGAAGGGGAAGGAGAGAAGAGGGGAAGAGGGTGGGATTAGTGACTTGTTCAGTCGACCCAAAAGCCACCTCACGCGCTGCTCGCATGGGCACCGTATAATAGCGATTGGAGTGGATGGGGATGGGAGGAATGGTGGGTTCTGAGGCGGTTAAAGGGGTGGTGAACAGCATGCAACCGTGCAAGCGTGCAAGTTCAGAGAAATCCGCCAGGCACACCACATCGCTATATCGCCTTACACTCATCGCTTGCATGCATTGAGTTAAGTTTTGAGGCGCCTCGACTCAACTCAATACTTCAGGGGGATCCGCCAGGCACACCATATCGCTATATCGCCTTACACTCACCGCTTGCGCCTGCTGAGGAGCTCACCTGAATCTCCAAGGGATGTCCATGGATGCCCAGGCGCCTGTCGATCATGCAGGAGCCAACGGTGATGATGAGCGTGGTCTATCAGGCACGCCTTTCCACCTCACGAAACACCTCATATACGTAGTGGAGCAGTGAGCTCACCTGGATCTCCAAGGGATGTCCATGAATGCCCAGGCGCCGGTCAATCATCCAGGAGCCGTCAGTGGTGATGAGCGTGGGGAACATGTCGAAGTGGTTCGCCAGGCAGACCTTTCAACCTCATAAAACGCACCTCATATGTGATGCAATAAGCTCACCTGGATTTCCAATGGATGTCCATGAATGCCCAGGCGCCGGTCAATCATGCAGGAACCGTCAGTGGTGATGAGCGTGGGGAACATGTCGAAGTGGTTCGCCAGGCAGACCTTTCAACCTCATAAAACGCACCTCATATGTGATGCAATAAGCTCACCTGGATTTCCAATGGATGTCCATGAATGCCCAGGTGCCGGTCAATCATGCAGGAGCCGTCAGTGGTGATGAGCGTGGGGAACATGTCAAAGTGGTTCGCCAGGCAGACCTTTCAACCTCATAAAACGCACCTCATATGTGATGCAATAAGCTCACCTGGATTTCCAATGGATGTCCATGAATGCCCAGGTGCCGGTCAATCATGCAGGAGCCGTCAGTGGTGATGAGCGTGGGGAACATGTCAAAGTGGTTCGCCAGGCAGACCTTTCAACCTCATAAAACGCACCTCATATGTGATGCAATAAGCTCACCTGGATTTCCAATGGATGTCCATGAATGCCCAGGTGCCGGTCAATCATGCAGGAGCCGTCAGTGGTGATGAGCGTGGGGAACATGTCGAAGTGGTTCGCCAGGCAGACCTTTCAACCTCATAAAACACACCTCGTATACGGAAGCAGTGGGCTCACCTGGATTTCCAACGGATGTCCATGAATGCCCAATCGCCTATCGATCATGCAGGAGCCGTCGGTGGTGATGAGCGTGGGGAACATGTCGAAGTGATCCGCCAGGCAGACCTTGAGGATGAGCTTGATGCCCGTCTGCACGTCTACTCTCTGCTGGAGGGACACGTCGCCCGTGCACCGCCCGTATGCTTGTAGCAGCTGAATCCACCACAGGCCTGGAGGTTTGGTTTGTGAAGGGGGGAGGCCAGGCAGACCTTGAGGATGAGCTTGATGCCCGTCCGCTCGACCACCCGCTGCTGCAGGGACACGTCCCCTGTGCACCGCCCGTATGCTTGTAGCAGCTGTATCCACCACAAACCTGCGGGGGGGAGAAGGGAGGGAGGAGGAAGGTGGGGAGCTTGATGCCCGTCTGCACGTCCACGCGCTACTGCAGTGACACATCTCCTGTGCACCGCCTGTATGCTTGCAATAGTTGAATCCGCCACAGCCCTGGGGATTTGGAAAGGGGGGAAGGGAGGAGTAGTGGGGAGGGGAGGGAGGAGTGGAAGGCAGGAAAGGAGGGACGGATGCAGAAGAACGAAATCACGAGGAAGATGGGAGGAGAGGGAGAAGGACAGGGTAACAAGGCGGAGAGAGACACAGGTGTTACCAGATTCGCAAATGGTCACGAGTGTCGGATCAGAGCTGGTTTATCACAGTCCAAAGCGCCAACCACTCACCAGAGTCAACGAGCGCCACACGACCAATGGCAGACTTCACATTCGGGGTCCAGGTGCTCCTCGAGTTAATATTTTGAGTCACAAAAATCGTCTCAGCTGCTTACCAGAGTCAACAGGCGCCACGCGGCCAATGGCAGACTTGCCAAAGTCAGAGTCCAGGTGATCCTCGTAGGCCGCCCCACCTCCCCCAGCGCTGTCCTCCACGGGCGTCTACGTGACCTTGAAGCTGGCTCAAGGATTGGAAGCGCCAACCACTCACCAGAGTCAACAGGCGCCACGCGGCCAATTGCAGACTCGCCGAAGTCAGGGTCGAGGTGCTCCTCGTAGGCCATCCCGCCACCAGTGCTGCCCTCCACGGGCATCTGCGTGACCTTGAAGCTGGCCGGCATGAGCCCCTCGCCTGGCCTGTGCGCGTCCACCGTCTTCTCCCAGCTCTGGAGGGCGCACGGGCAGAGCAGGGAAAAAAAAAGAATTGTTCTGAAGTATTCTCAAACCACATGGTTCTCCCAGTAAAACACAGAATGGTGAAATTGAGTAACGCATGAAAAGTGATAGGGGACCTGGGCGGAGTGTGAGACACGGGGGAGGATGGGGAATGCTACTGAAGATGCTTGTGACGTGGAGTTTGAAGTGAAGGAAAGAAGGATTCGGCAATGCTTGGATTGGCTAAACGGACCTGCAGCTGCAGCGTGTAGAGGAGGAAGTTGCGGACGATCTCGTGGTGGCCGGAGAGCATGAAGGCGAGCGCGGACGGGATGAAGTCGCGGATGAACACCTGGTCGTAGTTCAGCGCTGCTGTTGACGTGGGATCCGCTGCTGCCACTGTGCCCACCTGGTAGCGGGGGGAGAGGAAGGCGGCAAGGGGAACGGGAGAGGCGAGCGCGGAGGGGATGAAGTCGCGGATGAACACCTTTTCGTAGTTCAGGGCCGCTGTTGACGTGGGATCCGCCGCTGCTACTGTGCCCACCTGGTAGCGGGGGCAAAGGAGAGTGGGAGATGGGAGTGGGTTGTGGGATGAGAGAGAGGAAGGGGAGAGGGAGAGAGAGAAACGGAAGGGGGAAACTGAGTTAAGATAGAAGAATGAACGTGAGGACTGAATGAGTGTGAAGACTGAAAAACGGAGGAGGGGAAGAGGTGAGAGGAGGGGAGGAGGGGAGCGAGGAGGAGAGGAGCGTACGGGTTGGTTGTAGTAATGAACGACGGAGGCGTTGAGGAGGTCCCACGCCTCCTGCACCATGGGGGTGGGTTCCAGCTGCGCGTAGCCCTGCTGCTCCCTCCCCACCGCCGCACCGTCCCCCGCCACCACCACTTCCTCCTCCACGTCGACAGCCCCGCGCAGCGTCTTCCCTCCCTGCCAGATGCTTCCCTCCACTTCCTCGTGGATCGACGTGGAAAAATGAGAGACGCTGCCGCTGCCCGACGCGATAGATGTATCCGTTGACGCTCGGTGCGGTTGGTGCGGTACAGATGGTTGGCCCGCGCTGGCGGCGCCGCTGGCAACGGTCAGTTGCCGTTTCGGCGTTTGGCAAACAAGGGGAGGGATCGCGACGCCTGCGCCGGCTGGGTGGAGGAAGGAGGTGGTGAGAGCGGCCGCGAGGCGACCTGCTCGCGAGACTGCATGCGACGATCGGGTCCGTGCGACGGGCTGTCGCGAGCAGAGGGATGGACGGTTGGCGGATAAGGATCTCGTCGACGCATCGCAATATAAGCTGCACGAAGATCTGTGCGACAAGGTGTGCGACGATGCGAGCGAGAGCGCGCACGACGATGAATCTGGTCTGAGGACTGGGCGATGGGCCGGTGAGCAGAATTGAACGGCCGTGTTAGGTGGCATGATCACGGCGGAGGTGCTGCTCCAACGGTGAAGGCCCGTGCTTAGAGGCACTGAGAGAGCAGCTTTCGCCTTGATCCAGGACGACTTCATCGTGACGGATTCAGTCTGCAAATAAAGGATGATTACCCGCTGATGATACCCAATATTAATACGCAGCGGATATACCGAATTCGTCTTATCAATACAGTAGTCGGACCTTGAGAGTAGGTGGAGAAACAGAAAAACTGAAATCCAGGACCTTGGAAGTAGATCGGGTGCGAAGGGAACCGTGAATCCGCCTCGGAAGTATCTGGTTGTTTTCAAGGGAGCTCTGCTCTACCTCTCAAACTCCGAGGCGATGCGCTTCGTAGTCAGTTGTTGAAGTTTGCTCGGACCACGTCTGCCCGCTGCTGGTTGTGAGTTGGGCAGGCAGGGAAGCATGTCCCAAGGAAAGCCCAACTGACAAGTGAAGAGTCGGCGGTACAACACGGTACACGGGGTACCTCCTGACTGGAACCACGTCAGCGACCCGCAAGGATTGATGCGAGCTTGGTGCTCCCAGCCGTCAGCGGCGATGGATGAGCCAGCCCTGATCACGGAGTGCGCGCCAAGCAGACCAAGGGGAATGACTGTATTTCGCCGTCAGCTGAGTCATCAGAAAGCCAATTTTGCCCGACGCGTTTGATTTTCAGATTGTTGCAGGTGCGATGGATCTCATAGCTAGGTACATCCAGCCTAATTCACTGATGTGTTACGTATATATGAAAATACAACATTCCAATAGGCTGTAATATGATTACTAAGGGCCGGTTGATACCAAGAACTTTTCTTATCACCTACGCATTAGCTTTTGACTGGATATAATCATCTTTAATCGATGGCAATCATTTTCGAGTATAATACAAGATTTTATCTGGTCTGGTATTCACAATATCTGTGTCACCTTGTACATTCTGTGCTGTGACAGTATTTCATACGATGGTATGCTTATGTGGCTCGTTGTGATGTCAAATTGTTTACCGACACGTCAAGGGCGTCTCCTTTGACATCAAGCCGGTCGATTCGCCGTTTAGCTGTCATTCCGACAGTCAGCTGTCAGGATGAAAGAATCAACGCTCGAGATTGCAAGTGCTCAGCCAATCGACCCTCTCGCCACTCCCCCCAAATGACAGGTGCGCCGCCGCATTCCCAAATCCACTCATTCCTAAATCCACTCCGCTGAAGGCCCTTCCTAATCTTCCCCCATCCCCCCAGATCCCTCCCTTCCCCTCTGGACTTGCCAAGTCGCCCGCCACCGCTCCCGATTCCCCAATCCCCCCGCTCTCCCAATTTCGCGATTGGAGTCCCCGAAGTGCCCAAGGCCCTTTCACAGCCCCGCCGTCCCTATTATTTCACACAAGCAGCCTCATTTTCGACACCCTACAATATTTGGCGGCGCTTGCGCTGCGGGCTCGTCTTTTTGACTCGAGATGGGAGACGGACGCTTCGGCCACCTCGTGCGACTCGATTCTGCGTTGCGCTGGATTGAGTATCCGCGACGTCGCCGAATGGAAGGAGCACGCACACGCACCGCTCTGCCTGAGCCAGCTGCTGTGCCAGCTGCGTCAAGGCAACGCGACTCGCCGTTGCGCCAACTATTTAACACCTCCTGCAAAACGCTTAATATCATCCCGTTCCTTGCATCGCTAAAAAGCCCGCTTTTCAACCTAGCAGCCCAACGCTCTCTGAACTGCATAGTTTGAGCGACATGGCCGTCCGCGTTACAAGCATCCTCTTGGCTGTTCTCTGCCTTGCTACAGCTGCCTCCAGCTCCTCCATTCCTCGAAACTTCACCGCTTTTCACCGCGACGGACCGCGTCGCGCTCTCTTGCAGGTCCCCCCGTTCGACCCCGCTGCAGCCCTGGGCGCAGCAGCAGGAGCCATGGCCGGCGCCGTCCAATCAGCAGCCGCCGCGTTGGCCAGCACCATCGCGCAAGCTCCTGGCGGACTCCTATTCGACGACGCGTCGAAAATCTGCCTTGATTTCGGCCCTCTCCCCGCCTGCGACTTCTATTTTGATCTGCTCGGTCCGCTCGGGCTGCCCTCGCTGCGCGTCCCCGTCGTCTCCGGCGGCGCGCTCGTGCTCTCCCAGCAGAACGGCGATCGTCCCGTGAGCCTCGCCATCGCCACCGGCGTTTCGCCTGACGCTGGCGGAATCCTTGGCGACAAGAAGGCGAAGAAGGGTGGTTACCAGGTGGAGATTGACGCGACGGGCCCAGCGAAGTACTGCAAGTGCGAGGCGGCGAAGCTGGCGAAAACAGTGGCGCATGCTGGCGATCAGTTCTATGCGACTGGACATGTGAGTCGTCTCTCTTCTCCACCCCTCACCCCTCCTCTCTCCAAATTAAATCCCACACCATCACAGCCTCCCCTCACTTGCTCTTATGCAAACCCCTCCTACATCGGCCCCTTCCCCTCCCTCCCCCATCCATAATTCTTCCCTCCTTCCCACCACCACTGTTCCCTTGCGAACCAGGCCTCCCTTTACTTCGCACACACCCCCTCCCCGATACCCCGTTCCCATGTATCTGCTTTCGCAATCCTTCCATCTCCCCTGCCAACCTCTACTTCCTGTCATAACAAGTTCTAACCAGTTCTAACAAGTCACGTCAGCAACACGATCCGGTGTTCTGTTTGATACACAACAGGAATGAACCCTCAAGGCATTCTGAAATGCTCTCCCCGAAAAGTCCCTCCCCACCCACTTCCCTCCCACATCCAACCCTCCGCTTCCCCTTGCCCCACAGCCAGCCAAGGTGTATGCGTGCACGTTTCAGAAGAACCTGCCAGCGTCAGCTTTCAAGGGGTGCTGTGTGCGCCTGCCACTCACCAGCGTGCAGCTCAAGGCACCCAATGGTGACTTTCATGCTCTGCTTGTCTCCCCCTCCCCATGCAGCCGGCCAAGGTGTATGCTCGCACGTTTCAGAAGAACCTGCCAGCGTCGGCCTTCAAGGGGTGCTGTGTGCGCCTGCCTCTCACCAGCGTGCAGCTCAAGGCACCCAATGGTGACGTCATCAACCTCAACCAGGGCGATGGCAACAAGCAGTTCCCTGAAACCCGCCGCTGCCTGCTCTTCCACGTGCTCACCGTGTGATGCTGGTAACTTTTGAGGCGACGCAAAAGTAACCTCAACCAGGGAGATGGCAATGTGCAGTTCCCTGAGCCCTGCCGCTGCCTTCTCTTCCACGTGCTCACTGTGTGATGCTGGTGCAGATAGGCATTCTCTACTTCGACTCCACTAGTGTGGAGTGGCAGCAGAGAGAGTAGAGTGCAGATGGAAACTACCGTATGTACCTAGTTACCTAGGACTACCGTAGGTCTTCTAGACCACCGTAGGTTATTTTTACCTAGGACTACCGTAGGTCTTCTAGACCATTGAGATATTTTTGCTGTCGTGATTGTGTGTGTAGACGTAGCAGTGGTAGTTCCGGTACTTGTACCTGCTTCACTATAGAGCTTGATCAGTCTATCAGGTAGTCTACCAATGAAATGTGCATCGTTGATTCAATGGATGTGAGTTTTGATAATCACAGGTCTGAATTTGCTGCTGAAGCCAATACTACTAAAGCCCCAAATGCTATATCATTATGAACAATGTCCATACAGCGTTTCCCCAGTTACATGCCCGGAATAACCACCCTACTCCATACAGCCTCCCCAGCCCCCCCTCCCACATAGCAGCACGGCGGTAACCTATCACACGCGGGTCCCCCGAGGCAGCAAAACACGGTCAACGCCATGGGCAATGAAGTACGGCCCAACGTACATGCCCGGAATCACCACCCTGCTCGCCACTAACCCACCAGTTGTCCCTCCCCGAGCCGGCACTGCAGCGGACCTCATTTACACATGGGTGCCTCGGGGCAGCAACACGCGGTCAACGCCGTGGGCAATGAAGTACGGCCCAACGTACATGCCAGGAATTACCACCCTGGTCGTCACAATCCCCCGGGCTCTGGTGCTAGGGTACGTCCCAAACATTACCACACTGCCATTCCTGCCGGTGAGCTTGTAGAGAGCCTGTCTCAGCTGAGTGGGCAGCGGCTGGCCTGCCCGCATGGCCTTGATCTTGGGCAGGATGAAACGTTTTGCAATGATGTGATAGGCTGTGATGTTGTAGGCCCGGGGGATGTTCTTGGTTGTGAGAGGGAGCTTCTTGGAAAGCGCCTCGGCCGCTGTGTTGCTAGGAATGAGGAGGGTGGCGTCAGCAAGTGCAGAGAAGTTGTACCTGGAATTCACTGGAGGGGAGGGAAATGGGACAGGTGAAGGGGAAAGGTTAGGGGTTGGGGTTGGACAGTTTTGAGTCGACCCAGAATAGGAGGGTGGCGTCAGCAAGTGCAGAGAAGTTGTGATTGGAATTCACTGGGAAAGACAGGGGAAAAGGGAGGGGTTGGGATGGGATAGGAATCGAGATTGGACAGGAATGAATGAGGGAGCAGTGGAGCAGCAAAAGAACACAGCAGGTGCATGTGACTGGAGGGCAGACGAAGGGTAAGAAACGAAGGGAAAGCAGGAAGATAAGCCACAGGGACAGGTGCAGGTTAAAAGCACGGAAAGCAGAGGAAGCAATGATATGGAGAGAGTGACACAGGGAGAAAATGCAGGGAGGAAGAGAGAGGGAGGATGAGGCAAGGGGGAGGAAGCAGGGGGGAAGAAACAGGGACAAAGAGGCAGGGGGCAGAACCGACTTGCGAGGTTGACGTATTTGTTGAAGTCCTTGGAGAACTTGGAGTACTGCAGGTACCGCTGCAGCAGGGGTGACTGTGAGTCGACTCTAAAGAGAACTCACTCGCAAGGTTGACGTATTTGTTGAAGTCCTTTGAGAACTTGGAGTACTGCGGGTAGCGCTGCAGCAGGCGCTTCGCCATCCGCGTCACCTCCGCCTTGATCTGCGCCTTGGTTGGCGGCGGGCGGCGCGCAGCAGACGAGGACGTAGCGAGGACGAGGAGGAGGAGGAGCGGGAGGAGGTGGAAGGCGGCTCGGGAAGAAGCAGCCATGGCGAGCAAAGCGTTTCTGATGTGTTACGCTCGTGGGTGAGAGACTTGTGATGCTTTTCGGGGAATGAAGAGGAAGAGCCAGGTCAGCAATGAACTGGAACGGACCGTTGGCGCGCAGGTGATCAGAACGAAGCGTGGGACGAAGCGTATGGGACTGGAGGTGGCGCCAGCGATGCTCTCTGCTTTGAAAGGTGACTGAAGGACTCTGCGATCGACTCCAGAAGAACTGTGCTCGAGGATTGATTGAACGAAAGCACGAATGGTCGCTTTTATACCTCAGAAACCGTCGATTTGGCACCTGCAGACCCGTTCCTCGAAGCTTTTACGAATCTTCGCCATCAGAAGCAAAGCGATCGCGAAGGACGGTTGGATTTGAACGCCCTGGAGGGCCGACTGAAGCACGAAGAGCAAGGACGCATCGCCACGTACAGCCCAGCAGCGTAGTACGAACGCCACACGCAGAGCCACGTAGCACCGCGCCACGGGAACGCTAAAAGACGGGGATTTCCGAGCGGATGTGGGCAGCGAGGGAAGGAACGCCCCCCCGGGCGCAGTACCGCCCATGGCCTGTCGCCGCATGCCTACGGCGCGGTGCTTCTGTACACTACTACTGTAGGTCCCGGTGCCTACGCGACAGGTAGGGCGCAGCAAGACAGTCGTCGGCCAGCCCCCACCATACAGGTGGATACACGGGGCGATGGTACAGCAACAGACTACGAAAATTCGGACCTCGTATCCGTTCCAAGTCGAGATCTCGATTCGCTCTCGTGTAGGGACTCGGGACCCGATCGATGGCCAATCAGGTCAGCCTGCTCTCGTCGGGAGGCTCATTCGGACCACTCTGGACCGTCTCGGGAAAGTCACTATCTGCATAGTCTCTTCAACGCTGAATTGGCGGCGGCTAATCAGCGATGTATAGGTGCGGAACGGCCTAGCTGGCAGTTGTGGAGACGGGTTCCGTCATACGTGTCGCCACGAAGCTCGTCACCGTCAAGTCTGTCGCCGTCCATTGAGAAGACGGACCGACAAAGGACCTTGCGTCCCTCGTCGCGAGCATTTATCCTTGGTCGGTCGCGGAGAGCGCAGGGTGTGCAGGTATGTAATGCCGAGAAGATGGGCCTTAAAATGCAGACAAAGGGAATAGGACAGGAATGAGGAAGCTTGAGCAAATTCGAGAAATACGACGCTGAGGCAATATTCATGGCGCTGGGTGGTGGTGAGGTGAATGATGGTGGATGGTGGGTGGGGAGTGGTGAAATTTGGTTAAATTTGGTGAGCGGTGAGATGCTGGGAAGGATATTGAACTGTTTCTCCGACCAAGGATTGATGATGACGATGCTTTGGTTGGAACTCTTGAGGCACAGGTTCGTTTCGGTGTGTTGCGTTCCAAAGTGGTAATGTGAGAGAAACCCAAGAAATCTCAAATCGATTTGTCTTCACGAGTGAGCTCCATACCGCGACGAAAGTGTTCATCCAAATTGTATTGTAAGGAACTATGATTAGACTCACTTTTAGAAGAAGGCCTTGCATAAGCTGATCCTGCCTGCACTTGGGTGGGTCCCGTCTGGAGGAAAGCGACCTTCCTTCCCACCCCACAACCAGCACCAACCCACTCTTCCACCCCGCGACACGCTTCGCCTCACCTGCTCCCAACACACCTGTCACACTTCTTCCGTCCCTAAGTTACCTTTTACCTAGTTGTTGCCCTTACCGCAGCTTGTCGCACTGAAGAAACCCCATTAGATCTTCGCGTATCAGTCTCATCCGAGCGTAGACCACACGTCAGAGTTCCTTCGCGTGCGTCGCGACGGAGTCCGCTTGCAGGGATGGCTATGACGGCTCAAGCAAGTCGCGAGCCGCGATCGTGTCTGAGTGCGCCTGGAAGGTTGATTTGTTATGTCTCGGACCCAGAGAGTGCAGAGGCCTATAAAGTAGACCCTCAGCCTCGACACAGTTATCACAGCTTCCAGATTCGCTCCCTACATTCTCCTTCCTTTCCGTGCTTCGCTCCTGAAACAATCGCATTCGCGTGCAAGCTCACCTTATCGTTGCTGCTACTTCTCTTACAAGCTTTTCACTGAGTTCTGAGAATCTATGGCTGCAACTACTAGTAGCAACGCGCGGCTCCACGCAGGCCGCAAGCTGCTTGCCCTTCCTCTTGCCTTCCTGCTGCTCCTCGCCGCCACCAGCGCCAGCGCCGCGCAGCCCGTCCTTCACCCATCCACCTCCGCCACCGGCTCGCCGCGCAGCATCTCCCGCCGTGCGCTCGCCCGCGCGGATGCCGCCGTATACCCGCAGAGGGTGGAGCGCCGAAAGCTCTTTAGCTGGGACGGCGTGACCGTGGATCAGATCATTGCGGGCAGCCTGGGCACGATCGACGGTCCAGAGGACGACGAGGTGACGACGAAGATCGTGGATCTATTCATGAACGCGGGGTACAACGTGATGGTCATTCAGAGCGCGCACTCCGTGCAGGGCGACCCGGCGTCTGCGGCGGTGGAGGTGTGGCACTTCTGGGATAACTCGGAGTTCACCGTGTATTACAAGCAGGGCCCCTTCTCCGTGGAGAATCTTGGCAATGGCGGCTACGAGAACTGGGCCTTCGGCGGCAACTGGCAGCGCTACGGCGCCGATCAGAAGGTCGTCGTGTTCTCTTGAGCGATAGAATTACCGGTAGTGCTCTTAGAGCTGGGGCCCTGGGGGTCGGATCAGATCAGATCGGACCTAGCGGAGGTGACCAGGTGTTGAGCTGATGCTGCTTCATGGTGTGCATGTTGCTGATTAGTAGACAGGCTGTCTTACGCCCATTTCACTTGTTTTCAGTGAGCACGTGGTGCTTGAGATGGGTCTTGGTTGGTGCAGATGGGTACTGTGGAAGATGTACCGTTACTGTAAGAATTTATACTGGGTGCTCCAGATCTTCACATGGTACGGTATTCCTCCAGAATAATTGCAGAACGGAGGCTGGAGCATGCCTCCAGGTCGGATTTGTTCACACGGTGTATGTAAGCAAATTTCTGGTATATGTGCCGTACTGCAGTACTTGCATTGCAGCACATGCCACCCAGCCAGACTGACGTGTAGTGACATCGAACCAACACGCCAGCAGCATCACCACCAACAGCCGCGTGCAATTTCAGTCCCTTAGCCTGACAGAAAGCAACCCCACCGCCACCGGGTTCCTTCACTTTCGGTGCCTCCCCATATACGGTACCGTATGGCTGCAGAAATGGCTGCAAGGGGTGAGTGAGCAGCTAGTGCAATAAACACGCTTCATGATAGTAGTACATGGCAGAACAGAACACGAGGTCATTCGAATCCAACCGGCACGCCTAGCTTCTCACTCGCGATCACAAGAGCCTTGTACGTCGATCCCATGCCCACGAACGATCCCTTGCCACTGCTGCCACCACCACCACATTTCCCAGAAGAACCACTCTCAACCCCACCAACACCACCATCAGCCCCACGCACTCCCACCTCTCCCTCCCTCTCCACACGCCCCCCCTCCACGCCCGCACTCTCATCCTCCTCATCAAGCCACGGGGGTTCCCCGTCGCCCACGAGCCGCCAGTACCCGTCTCTGAGAGCCTCCGCCTGCTGCTCTGATGCCACTCGCAGCAGCGCCTCCACCCGGAAGTTGATGCCCAGCCGACCAAGTAGTTGTGACTGGGTGATGGGGCCGTACGCCCGAGCTGGCACTGTGGGGAGTGGGAAGGGTGAAGGGGAGGGAGAGATGGAGCATAGGGAGTGAGCAAGGGGCCTCCGCCTGCTGCTCTGACGCCACTCGCAGCAGCCCCTCCACTCGTAAGTTGATGCCCAGCCGGCCCAACAATTGTGACTGGGTGATTGGGCTATAGGCTCGAGCTGGCACTGTGAGGAATGCGAAGAGGGAGATTTAAAACTTTAAATAGAAAGAGAACATGTACGGACTTCTCAAAGAGGCTCAGCAGATGTGACTGAGTCATGGGGCCATATCTTGCAGCCGAGGGAGATTTAAAACTTTAAATAGAAAGAGAACATGTACGGACTTCTCAAAGAGGCTCAGCAGATGTGACTGAGTCATGGGGCCATATCTTGCAGCCGGCACTGTGAAGGAGAGGGTTTGAGTGGGGTGGTGAAGGGGACACTGGCAAGATTGGGCAAGGGGAGAGGGGGAGACATGGACAGCAGCAGCAAGGCTGTGTCACTGTCAACAGGTGAGCAATAGCAGACGTGGCAGCAGCGGGCATGCACGCGGATCATTGGTGCGCGACTGGAATGAGAGTGAAAGTTCAGCAGGAATGTGAGGAGAAGGGCACGAGAGAAAGTTCAACCAGGGGCATGAGAGAGTAAGGTGTAAAGTTCTCATTGCGAAGATCCCAATGTGAAGATCCCAATGTGAAGATCCCAATGTAAAGATCCCAATGTGAAGATCCCAATGTGAAGATCCCAATGTGAAGATCCCAATGTGAAGATCCCAATGTGAAGATCCCAATGTGAAGATCCCAATGTGAAGATACCAATGTGAAGATCCCAATGTGAAGATCCCAATGTGAAGATCCCAATGTGAAGATCCAATGTGAAGATCCCAATGTGAAGATCCCAATGTGAAGATCCCAATGTGAAGATCCCAATGTGAAGATCCCAATGTGAAGATCCCAATGTGAAGATCCCAATGTGAAGATCCCAATGTGAAGATCCCAATGTGAAGATCCCAATGTGAAGATCCCAATGTGAAGATCCCAATGTGAAGATCCCAATGTGAAGATCCCAATGTGAAGATCCAATGTGAAGATCCCAATGTGAAGATCCCAATGTGAAGATCCCAATGTGAAGATCCCAATGTAAAGATCCCAATGTGAAGATCCCAATGTGAAGATCCCAGTGTAAAGATCCCAATGTGAAGATCCCAATGTAAAGATCCCAATGTGAAGATCCCAATGTGAAGATCCCAATGTGAAGTTCCCAATGTAAAGATCCCAATGTGAAGATCCCAATGCCAGGATCTGATAATAAAAATCCCCATTGTACAAATCTTATCATGAGAACCTCATGGTTTAAAAGAGTTTGCCAAAGTAAACTAGAAATTTCCTTTGTCAAAAAACAAAGTTCTAATATTTAACCAGAAGTTCTGGAGGCGGAAAAGCACTCACACTTGGAATCAGTGACGGCTTGGCGGAGGGCAGCAAAGTCCACATACGCACTCAGATCCGCCGTGCCAGGCGCATCCAACACATTCACAAACTCATGCTTGCGTATGGCCTGCGGGGTGTGGGAAGCGCATGAGTGAGCATAATATGTGAGTCGAGTCTAAAGTCTCACATACGCACTCAGGTCCGCCGAGCCGGGTGCATCCAAAACGTTCACAAACTCGTGCTTGCGAATGGCCTGCGGGGGCGCGAGAGATAGAGAGTAAGAGTTGGAAGCAGAGGAGCCAGAGAGTCGGAGTGAGGGTGAGTGAGGGAAGCAAACAATTTTTGTAGGTATGTACAAGAAACACTTGCTAACGAATGGCCTGAGGGGAAAGAAAGAGAGTGCGAACAGAAGAGAAGAAATGAGAGAGACGAGGCGGTGATATGATATGAGGGAATTCAAAACTCACCTGAAGGCTGTCGGATATCAATTTGTCCTCCCCGTAGTCCACTATCAGCGCCGCCCCACCATCTCTCGCCACCCTCTCCGTGATCTGCAGCGCAATCTTCACTGCTATAGGACAAACTTCCACGTGGACGGCTGCCACCCGCTCCTCCAGTGGGGCCCATTGCATGCGAGGAAGAAGACAAAGAGTGCTTGCCGCAGTCGGCCCCGGGGAAAGGACGAATCGGAAAGGGTAGTTGGCAGATGGATGGCCACTGGTGTCCTTTTGTGCATGGCTCGGGTTGGAGTGGGCTTCAGATGGATGGCCTTCTTTGTCTGGTTCTGCCAGATCAACTAGTTTCTCACACCACCCTCTCTCTGTTTTCTGCCATGCCATGCAATGTCAAGCCAGCGTGATAACATGCAATTGCAATGTCCAGCCAATGCCAGAACATGCCATACGATGGCACAGAAGACCATGGTTGGTTATGACAGCAAGAGACAGCATGGAAAATGAAGAGAACCTCCATCTAATAATGCCTGCTGATCTCACCGGCTCACTCGCGAGTCATGACTTGCAAGCACAAGCTTACAGGTGCGTGGCATCGAGGAGGTAGAGGGCACTGGCGCCCACGACACACAGTGGTACAAGCATTCAACACTGCACAAGCATTCACTACTGTTGCACGCTCCCTTTGGGACTAGAGGACTGGTATGTAGTGAAGGCGTGTATGCAGTGAGCATTGGACAGGAGGCTCTCACTTGGAACTGGCGCACGGGCAGAGCGTCAAAGAACTCGTGTGCGATGAGGATGGCGTGCACTGAGAGTGGGGAGAAGAAGGCGCGGAATAGAGGGGTGAAGCGAAGCAGACAGGGACAAACATCGGAGAAGCAAGGTGAACATTTCAGGCGATACCTGTATGCGTGAGCATGCGTGGGGGATGGAAGGGAGGTGCCATGGAAGCAGTATAAAATCAAGACAATTGCAGCACACTTGTCTCACCTCCCTCAGGTACGTCCTCCAGAGCAGAGTGCCACGTGACTGTGGCTCTACTCAGGCCCTACTCAGCCCAGACACTCCCTGATGTTGCTGCTTCTGTGGATGATAATTTTTTAGTCGAGTCAAAGCAGGTCTCATCTCCCTCAGCCACATCTCACCTCCCTCAGGTACGTCCTCCAGGGCAGAGTGCCATGTGACTGTGGCGCCATTCAGCCCCGACATCCCTGTTGGCTTTGCTTCTGTAACTGAGAGGTTTTTATGTAAGCAGATCTCACCTCCCTCGGGTACGTCCTCCAGGGCAGAGTGCCACGTGACTGTGGCTCCACTCAGCCCCGACACTCCCGTCCCCGGGAATGCCACCTCCCCCGCCGCTGCTTCTGAGGATGATGGTGGTGATGGTGATGGTGATGGTGATGATGATGGTGATGGTGATGGTGGTGATGGTGATGGTGGTGATGGTGATGGTGATGGTGGTGATGGTGATGGTGATGGTGGTGATGGTGATGGTGATGGTGGTGATGGTGATGGTGATGGTGGTGGTGATGGTGACGCTGATGGTGATGGTAATGGTGATGAGGAGGAGGGTGATTGTGGTTGCGATGGTGCCGTTGCAGAAGGTGACCCTTGGGGCTCAAGCGCGCCTACTGCTGCGACTGCTTCACCTCCTGACGCCACTCCACCAGTGCTTGCCTCCTCCGCGCCCCCACCATCCGCCCTTCCCCCATGCGTCCCCCCAACGTCCTCCCTCCCCCCTTGCGCCTCTGCAGCTTGGCATTTGAGGGCGGACCACTGCAGGCGCCTGAGAGCCGGGCTCACCTCCACCAGATGCACCTCCACCGCTGCACTGAAGGGCGTGAACTTGGCGGATGACTGGGGGAGGGGGGATCAGGAGCGTGGAGGAGGGGAATAGGGGATGATGTAGGGCCGGAGTGGAGCTCTGGACACACCTCCACCAGATGCACCGCCACTGCCCTGCTGAAAGGGGCGAACAAGTGGCGGACGACTGGAGGGGAAGGGCAAGGGCAGGGAAGAAGCAGAGAGGAGTTCAGAACTGGTACCCCAACACCTGGTTCACTACACCTACACTACTGACTTTTGAATCGACTCAAATAACACCTGGTGCATCTGCACTGCACCTACACTACTGCAATGAAGGCTGTGAGTTCAGCAGAGAATGCGGATTCGGGGCGAAGGGGCAAGCGGCGAGAAGCACAGGCACGTGCGGGGCAGGAGAGGGCAGGCAAGAGTGAAAGCGCGAAAGGGAGCCTGTACAGTTTCCTGTACAACTGATAACGAAACTTACACTTATTGTGGACGCTTCTCTCAACTGCACTGCACCGTGTAACACCACTACTAGCACCAGCCAAGCTATCTTCAAACAGGACTCACACGCAGCAGGTCGGCCATAAGCATACCTCTGCCCGGACCCAGCTCCACCAGACGCACTACACTCTCTATTGCACCTTGTTGCAACACCACTGCCAGCACACTCTCACTCTCACACTGCCACTGCCACTGCCACTGCCACTGCCACTGCCACTGCCACTGCCACTGCCACTGCCACTGCCACTGCCACTGCCACTGCCACTGCCACTGCCACTGCCACTGCCACTGCCACTGCCACTGCCACTGCCACTGCCACTGCCACTGCCACTGCCACTGCCACTGCCACTGCCACTGCCACTGCCACTGCCACTGCCACTGCCACTGCCACTGCCACTGCCACTGCCACTGCCACTGCCACTGCCACTGCCACTGCCACTGCCACTGCCACTGCCACTGCCACTGCCACTGCCACTGCCACTGCCACTGCCACTGCCACTGCCACTGCCACTGCCACTGCCACTGCCACTGCCACTGCCACTGCCACTGCCACTGCCACTTTCAAGCTGCCCCCCGACTCACGCGCAGCAGGTCAGCCATGAGCGTGCCTCTCCCCGGACCCAGCTCCACTATTCGAACTCTAGGGGGCGCGCCCAGCTGCTGCCACGTCATCATGGCCCACACCGCCACCATCTGATGCGGGTGATGCGAGGCATTGAAGCGAGAAGGGCAGCGGGCGGGAGGAAGGGGGGCTTTTGAGTCAAAGCCCAGCTGCTGCCACGTCATCATGGCCCACACCGCCACGACCTGATGCCGCACAGGGGGCGGGGCAGGGGCAGGGGGAAGGCAGAGGTAGGGGCAGGGGCAGGGGGAGGGGCAGACGGACGGGCAGGGGGATGGCAAGTGGGGGGGGGGGCAGGAGGAGGGGGAGGGAGAGTGCATGGATATTGGTAGTCACACAAGACAAGCAGGGAAGCGTGCACGCAGGGAAAAGAGGGCAGTCTAGAAGCACGTGTGGGTTGGTGAGGATTGTGACTCTAAGCACATGCGAGTGTGCCAGTGCCAGCGCTCCAATCAATCCGGGTACCAGTGACGACTACCATGCACCCATGCACCCATGCACCCATGCACCCATGCGCCTCACCACACCACATGCCCTCCTCAATATACTCACGAGTCACGACACCACCTCACCTCGCCCCTCAACACTCTTAAGGCCCTTCACATGCCCACCGCACCTCGCCGAACATCTGGGAGATTTCAGGCGACGTGATGAAGTCGCCCTCCCTCCCGAACACGTCCCGCTGCATGTAATACCCACCCGCACTGCTGCTCGTCAGCACCTGCATGAAGAGCGACGTGAGAGGGACGGAGGTCCGGATGCACAGTTATGAGGCGCCTCAAAAGTCGTCCCACTGGATGTAGTACCAGCCCGCACTGCTGCTCGTTAACACCTGCAAGGGAGAAGGGGAGCGGGGTTGAATGTAGCGCCTGTGAGCATGTGGTACCCGCCCGCGCTGCTGCTCGTTAGCACTTGGGATCGTTCAGGGGAGGGGGAGGGGGAGGGAGCGCGAGATGCACTTTAGTGTGGTGTGCGGTGGAGTGGTGTGGGGTGGAGTGGAGTGGAGTGGAGTGTAGTGGAGTGGAGCAGAGTGGAGTGGAGCAGAGCGGAGCGGAGTGGAGTGGAGTGGAGTGGAGTGGAGTGGAGCGGAGTGGAGTGGAGTGGAGCGGAGTGGAGTGGAGTGGAGTGTGCATCGATGCACATATGAGGAAACGCAAGGGCGTCAGTGGTTGGATAAACACGTCTCAGAAGGTGAGGCATCTCAATAGCTCTTACCAAATCTCAAACACGCCTGCTTCATGTACTCAGCCACGCTGCCAGGGCCTTGCGACGTCTCCAAAGTTTTCAAACGAGTCAAAAACTAGACTCGCCTGTTCCACTCGTCTCGGAACTCAAACTCGCCTGTTCCATGTAGTCGGCCACGCTGATCGGCCCGCCCCGGAAGCGAATCATGGAGCGAATGTGCTCCACCATTGGCGATGCGCGCTCGCTGCTGGACAGCGGCAATCCCCCCCGCTGCGACTGTTGAGGCTCCTCTTGAGGCGTCTGAAATGTGGGAGATGCGCGCACGTTGCTGGATTGAGGGGATCCCCCCTGTTGCGCCGCGCCATGCTGCTGCTGCTGCCGCTCAGCGCTGGGATCCTCGTACTCTGCGCGTGAGGGGACAGTGAGGGGAGTAATGCTCGCATCGTTCTTGCCCGACTCGTTCGAACAACGACGCGAGGCGAGAATTTCTCGTTGCGCGTGTTTTTCGCCATCGCCCGACTCGTGATTCGTCCAAAAAGGAGAGATTTTATTCACTCGCCGCGAGTTAGAAAACAGTCGCGGCGAGGCTAGCACTCGCCTCGCCAGGAACATCGCCCCAAGACCACGAATCACTCTAGGCGAGTATTCAGCCGCGCCCCCCCTCGTGCGTATGCACGAGAGCGTACATATGCTCAAAGCTCGCCTCCTTTCTCATTTGCTAAAAAGATGCTTGGCCAACCGTTAGGAGATCGGTGTTCTAGGGGCGATGTTGAATCGGCAGCGCGATCGCGAATTCGTATTGCGGTGGGGTGGGTACAGAAATTGGAGGGGTTGGGTTAGGTAGGAAGAGTGGTCTTCAGTGCGGTTAGGGGGAGTAGAAGTTAGTGGTTCAAAATTCTCGTGCTGGACTGGTGTCAAAACTAGCTCTTCACCTCACACCAGAGCCCAAAACCGACGCATTCTCCTTCGACTTTTCCCACACCTTGGGGTGCTGGTTGTATTGTAGACTGTTGTTGAGTGCTTTGAGGGCACTGCACTCTTGTTACGGGCGCTGCTTACACCCACCAAGCACGCCGACGCTCCGAGCAGCCGTGCCGACGCGCAGCAGCAGCAGCAGCGCGGCGCGATGAAGTTCGACGTGAACGCGCTGCGGTACCTGTCCAAGGACGAGTTCCGCGTGCTCACCGCCGTCGAAATGGGCATGCGCAACGTACGTCCGCCCGCCCTAACGCTAGCCGCGCACACGACTTTTGAGGCTCTTGAAATTATCCGACAGACAGCAGTGTTGCTTCGACGGAATTCGTTCACCAGCGGGGTTCGAGTCTGGCGAGTCGAAGCCGGTCCGGATCGGTAGGCGGTAGGCGGCTTTTTTGTGTTTAAGCAGCACGCGGAGCCTAAAAATCTGACGGTTCTTGTGTCCAACAAGCGACACAGCCTGTAGCTCAAACGCCCCTTGCGCCCTCCTCACAGTGCAGCACCTCGTCAACCTCCATGATAGACGGCAGGATGGTAGACGGTCGGCAGTTTGGATAGACGGCCCGGTAGACGGAGAATCGAACACCGTCATCGCTTCAGACCCTATTTTAGGCCGTCCAAGCCGGATTCTCCGCCACCCATCCTCCCATCCTCCGCCACACCCCGCGTCCATTCCCCCCTCACCCCCAACCCCTCCCACTAAAACCCACTACCCGATCTCCCCAACCCCTTCCCCCCCTCATCTCTCGCTCCACAAATCCAGCTCATCCCTCTCACCATTGTTCAGTCTGCGTTCGCGCGCACTGCCTCATGGCAATCTCCGTCTCTCCTCGCTGCCTGCCCTCCCCACATCCCATGCCCTACCCTGCATGCACACGTGGCATGCACACGTGGCATGCACACGTGGCAGCACGAGATCGTCCCGTCGGAGCTCGTCGAGCGAATCGCGAGCCTCAAGTGAGCCGCCTCCCGTCACCGCCCTCTCAACCGCCATGCACCCCAGATTACGCTCGCGCCCTTAGCTCCTGCCAAATCATAAACCCTGAACCGCTCTTAACCCCTGGCTCCCCCACTTCCCCTTCCACCTCCTTCGTCGATCGCTCTCTTTCGTATTTCTACCTCTTCTTTTCCAGCAAATTTCCCGTCCGCCTACAACTTTCTTGCCTCGCTCACCATGCTCTTCCTCCCCGTCCCCCCGCTGCAAAAACTCCTCTCGTCCTCCTCTCCTTCTCCCCGTTTCCCCGTTGTCCCGCGCGCCTGCCAGGCGGGGCGGGGCGTACAAGGCGCTGAGCACGCTGCTGAGGCACAAGCTCGTGCACCACGACTCCACCAAATGTACGTCTCTCCCGCCCGCCTGCCTGCCTGCCTGCCCTCCCCGCCTCCTGCTTGCTCTCTCCTCTTCGCCCCCTCGCTCCCCTCCTCCTTTTCTTCTCAAAGCTGCTGAGGCACAAGCTCGTGCACCATGACTCCACCAAGTGTATGTCTCACCCGCCTGCCCTCTTCGCCCTCTCGCTCCTCTCCTCCCTTTCCTCCCTCCCTCTCCCCTCTCATATTGGAGTCACTTTCCAGAATTGTCAAAGCTGCTAAGGCGCAACCCCTTCCACCACGACTGCACCAACTGCAACACGCCTGCCTACCTTCCTGCCTGTCCTCCCCGCTCTCCTCTTCGCCCCTCGCTTTCCATCCGCCACTTCAACAATATTTGACTCTCCCACCCACTGCTCTCATTCCATCCACTCGTGCCTCATCCGGCACGCCTCCTCCCCCACACCCTAATCCACTCCTCTTTTCTCTTGTCCTCTCCCCCTTCCCCTGCATGCGGCACACACCTGCTACTGGCCGAAAACCCGAGGAACAACTTTTCAGCAGTCACCAAATTCACTTCTATTTCAGATTTTCCTTTTCCCCCCCAACATTTTCTACCCCCGGGCAGACGAGGGGTACCAGCTGACGAACCTGGGGTACACCTTACAACGTGTGACGACGGGCTGTTTAACCCGTCAATCCCCCATATGCCAATCAACTCTCTCCCCGTATCCTCTCTCTTCCCTTCGCGAGCCACACGACGGGTACCGGCTGATGAACCTGGGGTACTACATGTGATTCGACCCAATAATCATCAAATCCACTCCTAACTCCTCTTTTCTCCACCCCTACACCAACACCCAAACCCCCCCTTCCCAATCCCCCCCCTCCACCTCCCCGGGCAGACGATGGGTACCGGCTGACGAATCTGGGGTACGACTTTCTGGCCATCAAGGCGCTGGTCAACCGTGGCACCGTTGCTGGCGTGGGGCCGCAGATCGGTGTTGGCAAGGAGTCCGGTAAGTGGAGGTGGGAAGCGATGGGGAGGCAAGGGATTCCGGTGCGTGGGGATGGGGAGCGGTGAGCATCATTGAGGAGCGGCAGGAGTCCAGTGAGTGGGAGGGTAGGTGAACTGAGCTCTGCGACATCCCTCCCTCCCGCCCTTCGTCCGTCTCCCCCCCCTCTCCTCCTTGCGGGGCAGTCGTCACCTAGAAGGTGGAGAGGAGGTGGAGGGCGTGATGGTGATGAAGCCGCACCGTCTGAGTGACGTTTTAGTCAACTCAATCTTTCCCCCCTTCTCACCCCTCCCCTCTCCCCTCCTCAGACATCTACGAGGTAGACGGAGCAGAAGGAGAGGTGCTGGCCGATGAAGCTGCATTGGATGGGTGATTGTTTACTCAACTCAAAACTTCCCCACCCTCCGTCCCCACCCCTGCTCCCCTCCCTGTCCTCCCCACTCCCCTCCTCAGACATCTACGAGGTGGAGGGACCGGAGGGCGAGGTGCTGGTGATGAAGCTGCACCGTTTTAGTCAGCTCAGAATTTCCCCTCCCTCCATCCCCCCCCCCCCCGTGCTCCCCTCCCTGTCCTCCCCACTCCCCTCCGCAGACATATACGAGGTGGAGGGACCGGAGGGCGAGGTGCTGGTGATGAAGCTGCACCGGTTGGGGCGCACGTCGTTCCGCAACGTGAAGGCCAAGCGCGACTACCTGCGCCACCGCCGCGCCCACAACTGGCTCTACCTCTCACGCCTCGCCGCCCTCAAGGAGTTCGCCTTCCTCAAGGTGCCCTTCCTCTCCCTGCTTTACTTGAGAACTTCTCAAGGGACAGATGAAGTCAAAAGGTCTTTTTAATTATAAGGAAAGGTGCAGGGAAGGTCCACCTATTCATCCCCCCTCACTGCATGTGGTCCATTCTCGGCTCGGATACACACTGCATGCGCTGCGCTGTGGTTTTCATGCCGCCGCGCTTCCACCCCTCCACGTGCGGCCGGCAACTCAAGATGTGCTTGCTGCCCCTTTCACTATTCATCCTTTGTTGCTCACACCCCTCCCCATGGGGGCAGGTGTTGGGGGAGAGGGGCTTCCCGGTGCCGGGAGCAGTGGACTGCAACCAAGTGACTTTTGAGTCGATTCCAAGTCACCTTGTGGATTCAAATGTCACCTTGTTGCTCTCACACACACGCGCCCACACACACACACACCCCATGCGGGCAGGCGTTGGGAGACAGGGGCTTCCCGGTGCCGGGAGCGGTGGACTGCAACCACCCTCCACCCATCCACTGTGTCCCCTGTGGTGTGTGCCCCTGCTTGTGTGCTGTGCGGTGCTGTGCGGTGCACGCAGGCGTTGGGGGAGAGGGGCTTCCCGGTGCCGGGAGCGGTGGACTGCAACCGCCACTGCGTCATCATGACTCTTGTCAAGGCCTTTCCTCTGTAATCATTGCAAAATCATTGCCCTCATCAATACACAGCACCCCACACACTTGCAAAGTTCAGTGCTCCTTTCAAAGCGTTACTTCCATGCATTGCCTGTCCAATCAACCTCTTGCTTCTTCCTGCTCAAACCGTCTCCTCTAGCCCAATGACTTTCTCTACCTGCCTCCCTCCAGCCCTCCAATCATCCCCTCTGAATTTCTGCTCCAATTGCCCCCTCCTCACCCTGCACCCAACCCCTTTACACCCCAACACCCTCTTTGTCCCCCTTTTCCACAGCGTGCAGGTGCGTGCACTGCAGCGCCCACAGGTGGTGTTTGACCAGGTGCTCTCCCTCATCATTCGCCTCCACCTCCTCCCCATCACACCCTAACCTCCTCCCCCCAACCCCCTACTCCCCTTCCCACAGCGTGCAGGTGCGCGAACTGCAGCGCCCACAGGTGGTGTTTGACCAGGTGCTCTCCCTCATCATTCGCCTGGCAGCCGTTGGGCTCATCCACTGTGACTTTAACGAGTTCAACCTGCTTGTGAGTGACTTTAACGAGTTCAACCTGCTTGTGAGTGACTTTAACGAGTTCAACCTGCTTGTGAGTGACTTTAACGAGTTCAACCTGCTTGTGAGTGACTTTAACGAGTTCAACCTGCTTGTGAGTGACTTTAACGAGTTCAACCTGCTTGTGAGTGACTTTAACGAGTTCAACCTGCTTGTGAGTGACTTTAACGAGTTCAACCTGCTTGTGAGTGACTTTAACGAGTTCAACCTGCTTGTGAGTGACTTTAACGAGTTCAACCTGCTTGTGAGTGACTTTAACGAGTTCAACCTGCTTGTGAGTGACTTTAACGAGTTCAACCTGCTTGTGAGTGACTTTAACGAGTTCAACCTGCTTGTGAGTGACTTTAACGAGTTCAACCTGCTTGTGAGTGACTTTAACGAGTTCAACCTGCTTGTGAGTGACTTTAACGAGTTCAACCTGCTTGTGAGTGACTTTAACGAGTTCAACCTGCTTGTGAGTGACTTTAACGAGTTCAACCTGCTTGTGAGTGACTTTAACGAGTTCAACCTGCTTGTGAGTGACTTTAACGAGTTCAACCTGCTTGTGAGTGACTTTAACGAGTTCAACCTGCTTGTGAGTGACTTTAACGAGTTCAACCTGCTTGTGAGTGACTTTAACGAGTTCAACCTGCTTGTGAGTGACTTTAACGAGTTCAACCTGCTTGTGAGTGACTTTAACGAGTTCAACCTGCTTGTGAGTGACTTTAACGAGTTCAACCTGCTTGTGAGTGACTTTAACGAGTTCAACCTGCTTGTGAGTGACTTTAACGAGTTCAACCTGCTTGTGAGTGACTTTAACGAGTTCAACCTGCTTGTGAGTGACTTTAACGAGTTCAACCTGCTTGTGAGTGACTTTAACGAGTTCAACCTGCTTGTGAGTGACTTTAACGAGTTCAACCTGCTTGTGAGTGACTTTAACGAGTTCAACCTGCTTGTGAGTGACTGAGCATCTCAGCTTCTCAGTGAGTGTCTTTAACAAGTTGAATTTTAAGTTGAACTTTCTGGTGGAGAATTTAATAGTGCCTTTTGAGTGACTTCAATGAGTAGTAACAGAGAACTGGCGGCCCATTGACATTCGCAGGCACGTATCTGAACCCCATTGGTCCTTCCTGTTGCAATTTGTGCACATCAACCTTTGTACTTTGCATGTCATAACGCGGCATGGCACGGCATGGCATGGCATGGCATCGCATCGCATCAGGTGGACGAAGAGGAGTGGATAACGATGATTGACTTCCCTCAAATGGTCTCCATCTCCCACCGCAATGCCAAGATGTAATGCACTCACCCTCCCACCCCCATACACACGCGGTCATGCACTCACCCGCTCATCGCATATCAGTTTCCTGCTGACTATCTGCATCACGTCTCTGTTTGCTGCATTTGCTTCCACTACGTTCGTTCATTCATTTCCCCCTAAAATTCGATTCTTTTTTTTTTTCTTTTCACTACATGCGTCTGTTTGCAACATCACATCACTAATCATGCCACCTTCTCCCTGCGGCCCCGTCACACCAGGTACTTTGACCGCGACGTGGAGTGCATTTTCAAGTTCTTTGGCCGCCGGTACGCCAGCCATGCACTCTAATCACTTACACACCCATCTGTCTGAATCCAGATTTCTTGAGTTTCACCATTAGACTCTCACTTTCATCGCGACATGGAGTGCATCTTCAAGTTCTTTGGCAGACGGTAAGCAAGCAACCCACGCACTTCAACCAATCAGCCCCCCGTCTGTCTAGAGACTGTCTGTCTTAAGTTCCATTCACACTCTCACTACAAACTTTGAATGATCGTTGAATGATCACAACGTGGGGTGCATCTTCAAGTTGTTCTTTGGCCGCCGGTATGCCAGCCCTTTTTCACAGTACTCTTTCTCTTTTCTTTTCTTGTCTTTTTCTTCCGTTTTTTTCTTTCTTTGCTTTGGTCGACGGCAGGCCAGCCAGGCATTTCCAATCGTATAGCCCCAACTGTCTAAACTCCATTCAACACATTCTCACTCGGCCTCTCACATTCGATCCCTTGTCATCTACCCTGCCCACCTCCCATTACTTCCCTACACACCACTCCACACTCAATCCTCACACTGCTCCTCTCCCTCAGTCCACTTTCCCCCCCAACCACCTCTCCTCATCTCTGCCTCCACCCCTCTCTTTCTCAGATTCAACTTCGCCCCTAAGAGACCTCGAGACCCAACCTTGGAAAGCGCCTTAGCGCTGTCAGGTGTGCTTTCTCCCCACTTTCCCGCTCCACGCTTGCTCCGTCTGCCCTACCCCAACAACCCCCCACGCTTTCTCCTATGCGCTTTCCCCTTCTGTGCTTCCTTTCTCTGCCCTTCCCTTCCACTCTGATTCCATACTCTCACCACCCTCGTCAACTCCTCTCCTCCCCTCTCACCATCCCTGCATGCACCACGCTTCTCCTGCCTCTCCCCTCAACGCGCGTGCACTCTTACCTGATCCCGTGCCTGCATCATCATCACTCTTCATCCCTTTGTTCATCTTACTTCGAATCAACACCTTCACACCACTCTGCGTCCGTTTGTTCAACCTTATTCCGATTTCTCCCTTAAACCCTCCCACTCATGTTCTCTCACCAGGAGGAGAGAGAAACAACAAGGAAGAGGAGAGAGAAAATGGTAAAAGAGAGGAAGAAGATGGGGACGAGGCAGAGAAAAAGGAGGAGAAAGAGGAGGAGGAGGAGGAATCGGAAGAGGAAGAGGAAGAAGACGAGGAGGGCACGTGGAGGCCTTCGTTTTCAGCTATTAAATCGCTGGTGGAGCGAGCGAGAGAGAGAGCAGAGGATGGGGCAGACGAGGAGGGCGAAAAGGAGGAGGAGGGGCGTGTGAGAGAGGAGGGAGACGATGGGGAGGGAGGTAGTGGCGAGAAGGAGGAGAGCGGTGGGGATGCTGGGCCGGCTGAAGAGGGAGAAGGAGGAGAAACAGGGGAGAGAGAAGGGGCAGCGGGGGGCGAATGGGAGGCGTGCAAAGCGGTGATTCAGGCGCTCATGCTCGCTGCTGGACCCTCAGACAGTACTGTTGCTGGTGGTGCTGGTGGTGATGCAGAGATGGGTAGCAGAAAGGAAGGAGTGGCTGGGAGGAAGGCGGAGAGGAGAGGGGGTGGGAGGAGGGGAGGGCGGAGAGAGGTGGTGGGGACGGTGGCAGGGACGGGGCCTCTGGACAGACAGCTTGCAGCCAGTGGGTTCAGCATGCAGAACGAGGCTGAGCTGGAGCAGGTGAGTGATGAGGTGGAATGCGTTAATGCTGAGGTGGAATGGTCGAGTGCTGAGTTAAAACACATGAGTGCAGAGGGAGTTTAGGGAAGTTTCCTTAGCATGGTTCAGCCTTCTCGACTGGCCCTTAAAAAATCACATCGTTTACAGCGTGACACATGTGAGCTGGCCAACCCGCTTCGATTTCAATAAAGTTCGTTCTTCATCATTCGTCAGCGTTGGAATCATGCTGCAAGCCACATCAACAAAGAAACTGTTTAGCTGGTGGGTGAATGCGCGTGGGCGCATCTGAGGCTGTGTGTGTCCATCACATTCATCCTTCTGTCTTGTCGCTCACCCATAAACCCTCCCCTCTTCCTGCATCTGTCCCCTTCCCCACTCTCGTGTCCGTCCCCTTCAGTACATGGAAGAGTCGCAGTGGAGGGAGACAAGTCACTTGGAAGGTAGAGAGAATGGTGCGGGGGAGGAGGACGAGGAGGAGGAGGAGGAGGAGGAGGAGGAAGAAGAGGAGGAGGAGGAGGAGGAGGAGGAGGATGAGGAGGAGGATGAGGAGGATGAGGAGGAGGGGGAAATCAATGGAGACGAAAGCAAGGAGGGTGAGTCTGGCGGTGAGGGTGCAGAGGAGGAGGATGGTAGTGATGGTGGGAATGACAGCAATGATGAGAATGAACTTCAAGAGGGGGATGAGGACGAGGGCGAGGGCATGGGGAAATCCACACATGGCAGTAGAGTTGGAAACGGGGTGAGCAGGAGGGTGGGTGTGCGGGCAGGGCAGAAGCAGCAGAGGCAGCTGGAGAGGCAGCGGCAGCAGGCAGCACAGGCAGTGCGAGGGGGAGGGGTGAGGCGCGCCTCACGCAACGCCAGCAAGGACAAGGGAGGGAGGAGATCGCGCCACGTGTCGAGCCGAGCAGGGATTGATTGATTGAGAGGAGAAGCAGAACCTAGCTGCGGTGGACTGATGCCCAGTTTTGAGGTGCCTCAAAACTGGATGCCTCAAAACTAGTTTTGAGGTGCCTCAAATCCAGCTGAGGAAGGATCGATTGAGAGGAGAAGAATATCGCTGTGGTGGACCGATGCGTGTGCAGCAGTGGTTACTTGGCTGGGTGGCATGCCATACCACTGACTGTGAGCTGCACGCAGTGCAGATGCCGCTGTGTCTGTGCAACATGTGAATGTAACTGGCTTGGAGGCGTGCTCCAGATGTGGCGTAGGCGGGGAACAGTGTCAGCTTCTAGTACACCCGCCACCCTGTTCAGTGTATAGATGGTAGTATGTGTGGAGCAGTAAATCATACCATATATAATCAACCTCTTACACAACCATCAGCACCAGAACAGATCCTGATACACTATCTACATCACACCGGAAACCAGTGACATGGACATCAGAGAGCCTGAACAAGCAGCTAACCAGCATCACCTCAACACCTGGTGACCTCTGCTAGTAGGTAGGTCTCTCTGAACTGAACTGACCCACAGGCTCTAGGAACCACTGAAACACCAATATAACAAGATCGGTATTCAAGAGAAGACAACGACCTTCGCATCTGACCCCCAGGCTCTAAAAGCACCAATTACGGTATATCACTCAGGAGAACACGACGACCTTCTCATCGGCGCCATAGCGCTGCCAGATGCCTCCAAAGGCCCAGTTCTCGTACCCGCCATTGCCAAGATTCTCTACAGAGAACGGACCCTGCTTGTAATACACATAGAACACAGAGTTGAACAGGAAATGCGCCACCTCGACCTGCGTGGACGCCGGATCACCCGCCACAGAGTGGTCGGTCTGAATGACCATCACGTTGTACCCCGCGTTCATGAATAGATCCACGATCCTCTGAGTCACCTCGTCGTCTGCTGGACCGTCGATCGTGCCCAGGCTGCCGGCCTTGATCTGATCGACGGTCACACCGTCCCAGCTGAAGAGCTTTCGGCGCTCCACCCTGTGCGGGGAGGCAGTGGAATCCGCGCGGGCGAGCGCACGGCGGGCGATGTTGCGGGGTGAGCCGGTGGCGGAGGGGGATGGGTGAAGGACGGGCTGCGCGGCGCTGGCGGCGAGGAGCAGCAGGAAGGCGAGCGGAAGGAGAAGCAGATTGCGCGCTCCGCGGAGCCCCGCAATGGTGCTAGTAGCAGCCATAGGGAACTGGTTTAGTTCTTCGATCTCCTTCAGATCTCAGTGATAGCCTTGGAAGAAAGTAGCAGCAATGAAAAGCTGAGCTTGCACACGGATGCGACGGTTTGAACGACAACTTATGCTGTGAGGAGCGCTGTGGTAGGTACGCGCAATCGAAGGGAGAATGGGGGAAGCGAATAAGGAAGCTGTGATGACTGTGGTGAGGATGAGCGTCTCATTTATAGGCCTTAGCACTCCGAACCGCCGAGTTCGAAACCCGGAAGGCCGGTCTTCCAGTTGCACTCGGACACGAGTGCGGTTTGCGACCTGCTCGAGCCGCCATGGCGAATGACTGCGCGCGAACTCAGTCCGGAGGCACGCTTAGGGACTCTGACGTGTGGGCTACGCTCGGACATGATACGGACTGGGATAGCGGGAATACTTGGTGGAGGTAGAGGCCGCTGATAGGAACGGCCATGACGATGACTGTGAGAAGAAAAGCTAGCTACGCGTAGCGTAAACGGCAGAAGAAAATCTGAAGAATCATGATACAGTACGGGCGTGGAGCGGAAGCGTGTGGTGTGGTGGAAGCGAAGCGAGGGTGTAGGTGCTAGTGTTGTCGGTTGGCCGCCCATACGTCGACGAAATTGACGAATGTGGTCGACAATCACATGACGCGATTTATGGTAGCTTGGTGCAACGAGGTTTCCAGCTACACCGAGCACCTGCCCCTTTCACTTTGAACTAAAAGTATCCACACAATCTAGAAATCAACCTTCAGCTCTCCCTGGATGCATAGTGAATTAAACTCTACTTTCACTAGTGGATAACCAGGCCTGCCAGCAGGGCCCAAAATAGGTTTTAGCTCACTCTTTCAAATCAGGGTGGCATCCCCTCCGTACCCTGACTGGTAGGGTAAAGTTTCGAGTACACTGATTGTAGCAGCCTAAAAGTTCAGGTACACTGATTTAGGCAGGGTAGTACATGGCATACACTGTTTCCTTCCTAAACATAAGTTTTAACTTCTGCAACAGTTACTTAGTCACTAAAGTGTTCTGCACTGCACCTACAAGCTTTACTACCAACCAAGTTAAACGAGCCAAGCTACACAACGCACTGGTCAATCAACATCTGCTGCACTAGCAACTGCCTCGTCTGTAAACTGCGCACTGCTGGCCTTCATGCCGGAGAAGTCTTTGGTGGATCGCCTGAGCTTCTCCCCGCGGAATATGGCGACCACCTCGTACCAGTCAATGTCGTACTGCAGGAGGGAGCACCGCATCAGGTGCTCAAGGCTTGTGTCGCCGAGGCTGCCGCGGTCCCACGTCTTGATCAGGTTCTGCTTGCTGAAGCCGCGCTCACATTCAACCGTGCTAAGTGGTAGCACGGCGACAGACTGCCACATCCGGACGATGTTGGGGAACGACGTACGCCACGCCTCGTCGCGCAGCATGTTCCCCAGCGCCTGATGAAACTCCTCGCCGTTGTGCTGGGAGAACATGGTCGAGGTAAACATCCAGAGCTCCTGGCCGGCACGCTTGTAGTCGAACCCTGGTAGTGCGGAAGGGGATGATCATTGGCATACGCTCACACATACGGGTAGGATTGGGAGGCATTAGGGCGTATTCCTACGGCCTCCTATCAAGAAACCTCCTATCAAGAATGCACATTTTGCCTGGTGAAAGTAGCGAGAGATTTTGGGTTTAGGCAAATTTTCAGTATGGGCTTGATAAGAGGTTTTCTTGATAGGAGGATAGGAATACGCCCTTAGTCCACAATACAGGGCCGGGTGATGAGTAGCAAATAGCGCGATCGGAAACAAGCTGGTGCAAAGCTGTTTACGCAAGTCAATGACCAATACCCCGCCCTTCTAACAAACACGCTTACCAGGCAGCTTGTGGTTGTACAGCTTGTGGAGCTGGCCAAGCCACTTCCTGAAGGACTCCAGGCGCTGTGTGTCGTCGGACACATACGACGCCGTACGAAACAGCTTGGCGCCTTCGAGGAGGCTGAGGTCGCGCATGCGCCACTCCAGCTCCGAGTCCACCTTGCGGATGAACTTGAGTGAAAGCTCGAAGCAGGCGGTTACATCACCTTCTGTCTCATGGCCTGGCAGGGGGCGTTCGTGCAGGGCGAATTCGAAGGAGACGGCGTTGCCGTCCGCGTCCACGCCTTCCGCTTTCATCTGCCGCTTATCCATCTTCTGGTGGGCCTTGATGAAGTCAGGCAGCTGCATCTTCTCACCGCTGCCAAAAACGTGACTAGGGGACCTGTCGAAGTAGCGCGTCTTCAGGCGCATCCGCGTCTGTTGTACAAGGTGCGCCACGAGGGTGACGTCCACCTGCACACACAAAAGACATGCGGTCAGAAAGAGCATTGTGGGCGTACGTGTAGATACAACTGTGCTTGTTAGCACGTTACCTGACGTTGCTGAAAGCGCAGATTTAGCTGGTTGAGCTCCCAGAGCACATCCGCGAGGAAGCGGATGAGCCAGTGGAACTTGAACGAGGTGACTACCTCGTACAAGTCCTTCTTGTAGTCCTTCAGCACGACGATGGCGGCAGGCAGAACGTCTAGGAAGCGCTGGACCGCCTCGCCACGGGAGAGCCAGCGCAAATCGTTTATGCCCTGCGCCTCCAGATTCGTCTGGCAGTAGACGCGCTGGAGATTTTGAAACTTGGTGTAGTCCACGCTGCTGCGGCCGATGTGCTCGGAGAAGGCACGCACCACGTCGTCCACCATGCCGAGCTCGGGGACTGCCTCCGCCGCATCCTTAGCAGCCAATGCCTCCCTGCGCATTCAACATAAGCATGTTAGTAAGGTTTGCGCGTCACTGATCCGGTGCTGGAAAACACCCAGACTCCAACATGCGTACCTGTGAGCGACGCAATGAGTTGAAGCCAGGTGTGGTATGCGCAGTCGCAGCCTCGCGACTAGACCGTTGTTCTTGCCGGTCATGACACTCGCCCCGTCTGTAGATATTCCAGAAATCCTTTGGAGATCCAACCCGATTCCTGTAAGGTACTGCACAACAGCAGAGGTTAGGGAGGCCGCATCGGCACGGTCCACGGTAATGAGAGTTAAAAACTCCGTTATCGGAGTTACCCCATTGAAGAACGTCGCATACAGTATCAGGTGCTTGCCATTCACCCGGTCGGTGCTCTCATCCAGAAGAATCCCTATGTATGGGGATTCCAGCAGGTGGCCGCATTGAGTCTCTTGAAGGTAAGTGGCGGTTGCGCGCAGCATCTCTTTGAATCCGTAGCTGCGAGGACAACACACATGGCACACGAACACTAGTAGCATTAGCATCAGATCAGCTTGAGTCGCGGCCCAAACACAAGCGCCACGAAATCGCACTTACTCGGTGTAGTAGGCGCCGTACCCTCCAGACGGTGGAAGGTCCGGTAGTCCTTCCTTAGCAAGAAACCAGCACAAGGGAACAAACATGGCTATTGGCGCGTCAGCCTTGCAGATGAACAGCGCGATGTGGAGGCAGCGGATGATGTGCCGTGTAGCTGCATCAGTGCTCTGCCACCTTGTTAGTGTGGCTTGCTTCGCCTTCTCCGCGTCTGCTTTGGCCTCGTTGTCCAAGGCCTGCTTGTGGGCTCTGCTTGATGTGTGCGCGCGGATGCTCCCTAGCTGCATGTCTCGCGCACCCTCACCTCTGACGCCGTAGGCAGTGTGCGCGTTCGGATCCCCGTGCTTGATGCAGATGGCACATTTCAGTGAAGGCCTGCCGTTAGTCATGCGCATTAAGCGCAACCAACTGAATTTCTTTGACCATTGCGAATCGAAAGTCGTTTTTACCAACTCATACTCAGCCTCTGCAGAAGCGGTAGGAGGCTTCGGCTGAGCAGGAGCAGCACGGCGTGGCGGTGATGCCGCTTGTCGTGGAGGAGGGGCGCCCCAGAGCCTCTGCTGCTTGTATGTCACGCCGACACGCTGTCGCTTCACGGGCGCGGAGCTAATTGTGGACGGGGCTGCAGTGGCCGGCTTCGACGGGCCTTCGCCGCCATCGGGAACAAGCTCGAGAGACGGGTGTGGCTCCCGGGACTTTGGCGAGGCCGAACGCTCGCACGGGAAAACGGTGCCGACAAGACATTCAGAGGATGGCTCACGCGCAGGCTGAGAGATAGGGACGCTATAGTTTTCAGCCAGCCGAGGTAACACACCGAGAACGGAGAGACCGTTCCTGGTGCTACCAGGCGGATCAGGCTCAGATGCAGGCATTCGGTAGAACAAACGAGAGGGAAACGAGAGAATGGCCAGAGCCTGAGAGACCCCTCGGGAATCACAAAGCCCAAGGCGCCTCAGGCCGCAAGGTTCCCTCGCTGGTAGGGAACTGCATGGCAATGGCTGCAAGGCCACAGTGACTGCCAGGTGGTGGAAACGACAGCACGTACCCCACCTGGCGCGCAATTTAGCTCCGTTGGCAGTGCGCGATACTGCGTGACGCACGGTAACTGGGTGCGTTGGCTTCAATGTTGCTCAACGGACCAATCGTAGCTGTGCGGTGCCATCCGCATTGAATGTACGTTGGCGCGCCTGTGGGTGTATCCAACAAATGGTCCAGTGGGACCGTGGAGGAATTCGTCGTGGCGCGGACTGTGGCGGAATCCGCGGTACCGTCATACCCCGGATATAAGCGCCACCCGCGGATAAGCGCCTGGCGCTTTTAATCGGCGCCCGGCGCTTATATCCGGTGCTCGATTATAAGCGCACCCCCCTGAAAAAACTTGTTTTATTATAAGCGCACGTAAACTTTAAATTTTGAATTGTGTTCGAAACACTGTAACGATTTCTACTTCAGCAGGGGGATGTGTTGCAGATTCGCTTCCCTTCACATTCGGACCCTGCACTGGATGCGGGACCAGTCAGCAGGAGCAGTCAGGAGCTGTCAGAAGCTGTCAGAAGCTGTCAGGAGCTGTCAGAGTAGGTGTATCTCCAGCGCGCGCGAGAAATTTCACAGAACTTCGACTCGATTGAAAAAGGCTAGCACGAGATCTACAGCTTGGTGTTAAAACATATATAAAATATATATGTCGTTTTATAAACGCCGGCGCTTATAAATTTACCCGATTATAAGCCCACCCCCCCTAAAAAAACCTGTTTTATTATTGCCCCCCATGGGGGTATATCCGGGGTATGACGGTATGGGAAAGTTTCGGTAAAAGGGTAGTTGAACCTCTACCCTGATACAGTCAGTGTAATTGGAAAAGCTTCAAGAGTACTTTTACGCGTATTCTGATTGCACTAGGGTAAAAATTTGCATACCCTGATTTGAAAAGGGTAACTGCCAAAAAGTGGCCTATGAGCAGGGCAAAAAGGGTAAAATACCCTTGAAATTTGGGGCCTGCCTGCCAGCGTGTAGTCACTTGATCTTTCGCTATGCTAATCTCGTAACTCCATTCCATGCATGCAAAGTGCACGGATGTATGCACTGGTGTCACCAATTGCGGTGATATCCAACATCTTTGGTACCGTATTTCTCCCAAGTGCAGAATCTCCTAACCCCAACTGTAACACTTGGAGGAGCGGTAACCCAAACGAGGGGAGGCAGAGGCTTCACATGGTTCGAAGAGCGTAGGAACAGGGGCTAGTGCCGAGCCCCTTCAAATGCACTAGTTCTAAGCAGTAGCAGTTGTTGCCTTCTTCTTAGGGGGAGGGTTACCGCCCGCCAGAATCACGTAGATGTAAAACAGCACCATGGCAGCACTGAGGGCGATGCAAGGAAAAATGGGGGGGGAGGAGAGGGGAGGGGGTGGAATGAAGGGGAAAGGGAGTAAGGAAGGTAAAGCAGAGTGGCTTGATTAAAATGGGCTTCCTTTCACACTCTCACGGTCCGTAATCTCATGCAGTGTGCGCTGCTAGTGACATGCAGCGACCAGAAGAAAAGAAAAGAAAAGAAAAGAACAGCCACTTTGAGGGCAGAGCAGATGCAAGCAATGATTTGCACGAACGATAGGACAAAGGCGTGATGCTTCGAACATGTATGCTGATCTTCCCACCCTGCTCACCTGACCGCCACGCCAAGACCCAACGGGAAAATAGCACCCGTCTGCAGGATAGTACACAAGCCCGTGCGTGCACACGGGATCGGATTTACACATAGGTAAGAATGTGCACACATGGAAAACCAGAGCCAAGCGCAACCAACTGATTGGACGGGGAGCCAGAGCCCACAGCTCAATATTGCATTTGCAATGAATGGCTAAGAATGAAAGGTATGTGCAACTAGAATGACAAGGCTATGCAGGTGAGAGGGAGCAGTCAGAAGGAGCAATCGAAGGGCTGTTTGAAGGGCTGTCGAAGGGCTATTGAACGGCTTACCACTTGCAGGCGCAAGTATGCCTGGTATGCCAAGACAGCAGCGAGCACTGCATGTGGTGGTGTGGATGGCGAATAGGGGAAGTTAAATTGCATATGAGGTGACAATGTGTGGAAGCTGGTGGCTATGTGGTGGGGTGAGGGTTGAAAAGAGGAGCGGCGGGAATCGTGATCGTGAGTAGGGGAGAGAATGGGAGAGTGTGTGTGTGTGTGTGTGTGTGTATGTGTGTGTGTGTGTGTGCGTGTGTGTGTGTGTGTGTTGGTGAGTGGAGTGTATGGGTGGGTATTTGTGTGTAATGTGTCTGCGTGGGCATGCATATGCTTGGGTGGGTGTTCACGTGGATGTGTATGTGTATGCGTGTGTGGGATGGGCATAAATACGCATGCGCGGGCATGTGTGTGCATAAGCATGCATATGTGGGCATAAACATGCATGTGTGTGCATAAGCATGCATGTGTGGGCATAAACATGCATATGTGGGCATAAGCATGCATGTGTGGGCATAAACATGCATGTGCAGGATGTGTGGGCATAAACATGCATTTGTATGGACGGATGTGCATGTGCATGGTTGGGTGCGCACCTGCTTGGCTGAGGATCTAGGGCGTGCTGGTCTGCCCTTTGCGCCATGCCCGCAGGCTGCCCACCCCACTCACGGCTCCTCCACACAGCTTTCACGCCTTCCCCTTCATGCCTCCTCCCTTGCGTTTCCCTGCACCCACCTGCTTGGCCGAGGATGTAGGGTGTGCTGGACTGCCCCTTGCGCCACGCCCTCAGGCTGCCCACCCCGCCCAGCGCAATGGTGGCGCCGAACAGCGCTGTCACGCGAAGGGCGTCCGCGCTCTTGGTCAGCAGAAACCACGCCACTCCCGCCAATGCTGCTGCCGCGCCTGTGGTAGGGGAGAGGGGGAGAAGGTGGGAGGCGTGAAGCAGCGTGGCAATCAAGGCAGCGCGTCCGCGCTCTTGGTGAGCAGAAACCATGCCACGCCCGCCACCACTGCTGCCGCTCCTGTTTTGGCAAAGGGGAGAGGGGAGAACAGGGAGGCGCAAGGCATGGCCATCACAGTGTGGCTGCCCACCCCGCCCAGCGCAATGATGGTGCCACCGAGCAGCGCTGTCACGCGCAGAGCGTCCGCGCTCTTGGTGACCAGAAACCACGCCACGCCCGCCACCGCCGCTGCCGCTCCTGTGGGGGAGGGCGGAAAGAAGGAGAGGGAAAAGGAAGCGGATTGAAGGTGTGGTGAGGCGATCATGGCAGGGCGTCTGCGCTCACGAGGAATTATGCCACGCCCGCCGCCGCTGCTGCTGCTGCAGCTGTGGCGGGGAAAACGGGGAGAGGGAGAGTGGAGGAGGCGTGAAGGGGAATGGAAATGCGAGCGACACTCACGACAGGGCGTGTGCGTGCTTGGTCACCAGGAACCATCCCACGTGTTTGAAGATTATTTTTGAGACGTCTCAAAAATAATCTTCAAACACAGGGCGTGTGCGTGCTTGGTCGCCAGGAACCATGCCATGCCCGCCGTGACTGCTGCCGCGCCTGTTAGGCCGGGAAGAGAAGGGGGAAGGGGAGAGGGAGGTTTGAGGAGGTGTGAGTGACAATCCCGGTGTGGGGTCCGCGCTGAAGCAGAGCAGCAACCATGCCACGCCTGTGACGGCCTGCAGGGGGAGGGGAGAGAATAGGGACGTGAGAGAGGCGGAGGTGGAGAGGGGAGAGGAGAGGGGGAGAGGGGGAGAGGAGGAGAGGGGGAGAGGGGGAGAGGAGGAGAGGAGGAGAGGGGGAGAGGAGGAGAAGGGGAGAGGAGGAGAAGGGGAGAGGAGGAGAAGAGGAGTGGGGGTGAGGAGTAAGGCGGGACGAACAGGAGGTAATGACGGCACGGCGTCTGCGCACTTGGCCAGCAGGAGCGACGGAGGCCCACGAGGGCTGATGCTGCTACAGGCGCGCGTGCACCGGGATCACACGCGAGAAGGAAAGAAACTTCTGAGGCGCCTCAAAAGAATGCTGCTACAGGCGCGCGTGCACTGGGGTCACAGGCGAGAAAGAAAGAAACGGGTACCGACCCCACATTGCTAGGGCGGATGCATCAGGTACGGTACGATGAGAGGGAGCATTGACAGCAGATGGGATCTGCGCCGTACGATAGCAGAAGCCGATGTGGTGAAGCACGGACGAAGAGGGCGCGAAGAACAGGAGAGGTGCGGGTCGAGAGCTGGAGTATGGAGCGAGCCGGCAGGCTTGGTCTGCAGCCGTCTGCGTGCGTGTGCGGTGGCTGCGACGGTTGACGGATGAGACAAACGACACAAGCAGCGGAACCGCGTGGCACAGCCGAGCCGGCCGATCCAGCCGAACACGCTAAGAGGCGATTCAGGTGCTAACTGAATGTGATGCCGAAGCTGGAATCTTGAGGCGCCTCAAAAGGGGGTGCTCACCGAATGTGATGCCGAAGCAGAAGTCGTGAATAAACACGTGGCTCTCGTTGCGCTGAGGCGGCAGGCGGCACGGTGGACGGTGAGGCGGCGGGTGTGATGGTGCTCAGCTCACCGAATGTGATGCCGAAGCAGAAGTCGTGAATAAACGCGTGGCTCTTCGCCTCGCCCGCCGCTTCTGGCGGTGACGCGGCGGAGGAGGAGGAGGGCGACGCCGCGTCGCCGCTGCTCTTTGCCTCGCACCGGAACGACGTTCGGGTGCGATTCTTCGATGCAAGCCCCTTCGTTGAATGCACTATCGTAGCCGGGCGACAGCTGCTGTAGCGGAAGCGGGCAGGAAGGACTGGGCGGGGCCAGAGGGAGACGGCGGAGCTGGGGGAAGCGGAGGCGGGGAAGGAGGAGAAAGAAGGGACGGGACGTAGATGCGCGGCGGTGGCAACGAGGGAGAGGTGGAGCGCTGACGTGGCGGATGCCATCGTGTGGATCGTGCAGAATCCAACAGCACGATAGATCCCAGTGCCCTCTACCACCAGAGCTGGGAAATAAAGCTGGGACTCGCGCGATTCACAACGCAAGGGACTCAAGACAGGGAATCGTGCGCAGCGAGCTTTGATCTGACCCAAAGCTGCGAGCTCGACGTTGCGGAAGTTCAGCGAGAGAGGGAAATGGCCTGAGCGGCAATACCAAAGATTCCTAGAACTTGTGTGGGTGAAAGGTTTTTTATCAGGACCGCTTCGAAGGAGTCTTGGGAGAGCAGTGGAACATGGTCAGAGCGTCATGGGAAAACGGGCGAATATGGTTGGTGGGTTGTGTGGCGCTGCGAAGGCAATGTGTGTGTGCATGCGAGTTGATCGAAGAAAAAAAACAAGAATCGTTACCAGATTCGTCTCTTGTAACGAAATGGCATTTCGGGCAAATGTAGGTTCACCTGTGCGAAGGCTGGTGTTCCCAGGGTTTCCTCTCGATCGTTTTTGTGTCGCTTTCTCGGCGTGTTGTCGGTCGCGAATATCGGTGACTCGCGAAATCAGCCCTGATTTCGTGATTACACCAGTCATGGTGTTCCCTGGATCCACGATCGCGGCATGTCAGGGATTGGCGGGAAGATCACGGTGGTGTGACAAGAAAGATCTATGGCGAAGGACTACGAGGCGCGACCACCTTACGCCATAGCTTGTACTACCGATGTAGCGCCCCAGTACTCAGGGGAGGGACTGAACCCTGTCGTGCGACAGGATACTTCCAAGCTAGCATCAAAGAAAAATAGCGAAGTCGGGCTGTATCACGTGCTTATCCAGTGCCTATCTCAGATAGGCTACCACAGCCGCTTGTTTCAGTTCGGGCTTGTACTAGGACTCTATCACTGCGAGCACGCCGGTCTCAGTGCATGCAGCGCTCCCATCGACTTCCACGTTGTCAGGAAGGCAAAACCGGTTCAGAATCTTCTCAGTGCTCCGCCCCACGCGGCGATTCTCCGTGTCTTGTTTAGCTTCACAGGACCGCTCGTTGCTGATGGTCAGCAGGTTCGTGCCTTCTTCCACTAAAACTCCAACCTTGGTAGTTCTTCACGCTCGCTAGGTTGGCGATGAACTTGAAAGCTTCGAAGGTCTTCGTGACTTCTACGGCAATTGACGCCATGGCGTGGCTGTCGTTTACGTATTTTAGACGTGGGAGTGTTGAGGAGAATGCTGAATTCGTTTGGAATGTGCGACAGCCGAGAGGGATTTGAGCAGCAAATAGTTTCCCGATCGTGAGCGTCATTCCACTATTTCTCTGCGCAAAAACGAGAATGTAGGTAAGAGTGAGCAGGGATTTGGAAGCTGCACTGATTATTGGCTGGTAATGTGATGATACCCAGTTCAACTCAGGTATTTCTTTCAAATTAGGGTGCAACCCAGTCGTGAGCCCTAATTTCAGAGCTGAGAGCCGTGACTCCAGCGTATCCTCATGACCTTGTCTGCAAGGGGCAAATTGGTGCGAGCTAGAGAGGAGCGAAAGGTTGAATACTGCAGGTATGGTTGTCTTGGATTACAATGCAAAACAAACTAACGAATACATGAATCCAACCCTACAGTTGCCAACTATATTACACACGGCTGAGCATAAAATCTACGCCAACATTGAAGTGCAGCAGTAAGTCACAGAACTGCCACTGCAAGAGTGCACAGTTCTGAGACTGGCTGCTCTGTCTGCTCTAAGTGCCGAGCTACATACATGGCTGTGTAGCTATACAGGAGCCCCAAACCCATGGGCCTAAAGTTGCATCTCCACTAATAGACCGTTAGCATATCAGTGTACTCTGTCCCTGAAGGATGCAGCCGTTATTGGGTATGCCAGTGAGCCAAAACTGCAAAGCTGATGTAGATCACAGGCACCACCTGCTACCTAGCAGGCAACGGCTGGTGCCGTTCCCCAAACGTTCTTCACAGCCCATGCCGCCACAGCAGCCAGCCTGGACCTCTGCCACCAGTCAGAGCCGCTGCCACTGTCCCTTCCACCACACTCACGGCACATCCTTTTCTCCTGCTCGCAGCAGTCCCTTCTCCTCACTGCTTCTCCCTGTGCTAGCGGGTTCAACTCTACTTGCTCCTCGCCGTCGCTGCTGCTGCTTTGCGCGCCGAATCCCCATTCAGCTGCTCTACCGCAACCCTGATGCACATTGTGTGTCCCCTTTCCCCCGCCAGTGTTTCCGTTGCTCTCGCTGCTACTTCCGTCACTGCCCCGGCTGCTGCTGCTGTTGCTACTGTCGCTGCTGAGGCTCTCACAGAACGGAACCTGCTTGCCAGAAGAAGCGGAGGAGGAGGATAGAGATAATGACAGTGACGGCGCTGTCGTCAGACCGGAAGAAAGCCACGTGGACAGCGACGGGCTTGAGCGAGCCGTCATGGCTTTCATCAAGCACTCCTCTGCGACGTCCTTCCCGTCGTCGCATACATTCTGTGCGATTCGCTCAAGCAGACCGTTGCACGCCGCGGGACAAAACACGTTCACACACGACTCGTCGCTCAGCCACGCGTCGCACAGGACCTCGTCGATCGTGGGTCGTTCGCAGGGCTTCACGGTCATCATGCGACGGATCAGGTTCTTCGCCGCGTCGCTGACCAATCGCCAACTCGGGCTCGACCAATCAACATCTTCATTCAGCGCGCGCCGTCCGTCCTTAAATTCCGGCCAGCTGGCAGCAAGCATGGTGTACAGCAACACCCCGAGGCTCCACACGTCAGCAGACCAATCGTACGGTTCAGATGCAACCACCTCGGGAGCCTCGTATGGGTAACTTCCAACGGGGCCTCGCAGGCGGGACCCCTCGTCGAGACGCCTCGAAAGGCCGAAATCGGCGAGCTTCACTTCCCACTCGCGGCTCGGCGCGCAGCCACAGGCGAGCGCCGCGGAAGAGTCGGCGTCGTGAGCGTGCGGAATAGGACAAATTGGCCCGTCCAGGGATGGGTGGGCGGTGGATGAAGGGGGGGACGGGTCGCGGAGGAGGATGTTTTCGGGTTTAATGTCGCGATGGACGATCCCGTTTCGGTGACAGTGCTGCACGGCGAGAGCGACCCTCTTAAAGACGTAGCGCGCCTCGGTCTCCGGCAGCCCGTTTTGTTCAGAGACGAGTTTAAAGAGGTCACCGTCGGGACAGAGTTCCATGAGGAGGAAGATAAAGGCGTCGTTCTCGTAGACGCTGTGCAGATCGACGACGTTCGCGTGGCCCTGTAACCTCTGCATCGCCTCGATTTCGCGCGACACCTGTCGCATGTGGTCGCCGTGCGACGAGAACTGCGACTTGCTGATCTGCTTGCACGCGAAAGGCTGGCTCGTCGAGCGCGACGAGCAGCGCCACACCGTGCCGAACTGCCCCTGGCCTATGGCGCCCGAGAAGTCGAACTCGTGCTCGAGAATGGACGCTGGATGGTAGCCTGAGGACCGGGATACGAACCCGCTAAAGAGACCCATGGTCGTTCAAGTAGCCAGACGGACTAGTATCAAGACAGAATAGAATGATGAACTATGTCTACTAAGATGCTTTAGTAGCCTAAGCGATGAGAGGGTGAGTGCTGAGGTGAAGGTTGGAAACGAGAAAAACTCTTGATTGAGCCGTTCGAGAAAGATGGGGCTAGATTGAGGGGAAGGGTTAGGCCGGGCGTACTTCAAGCCGTCAACCGACGGCAATTCAATACTGTAAGCAATTCAAAGCTAACAAGCTGGCACTGCTGTCGATGGTGCTTCTTATGTATGAGAGCTCCCCTCAAGCCAAGGTTCGATGTTACTTCCTCAACCGCGTCGCCTTTCTCGCCACGGACTTTCTCGGCGGCAGTCAAGCCGCGTCTTCCATCCCATCCCATCCGCATGTGCTCCGTTGTCTGCTGGGTTCCTATTTCTTCCAGTCCGGTTATCCAATTCGACCCAGATTAACCCAGCGCAACCGAAAGGAAGCTAATTGCACTCATCCGCTTCGACCTATGATGACTTGTCATTGTCAGCAACACCTCCCCGTGAGCCATAAACCCGTCTCCCCCACGGACGGGAGTCACTCCTCCCCTCCCCTTTCCATCATCCCTGGCCAGAGTCGCACAGGCTGGCGTTTTCCCCGCATGACGCTGAAAGTTTCTTCGACGCTTCCGCACGGTCGCCCGTCGGCACATCTTTTTGACGAGGGGGGTCGGGGCGACGGAAGAAAAGTGAGTTGACGGCGAAAACGACTCGAATCTCTCCAGCAATTGGTCGTTAGGGGTTGCCTCCTTATCACCGCCTTGTGATTTCGTCGCCAGCGAGAAAGTGAAACCAAAATGTCGGTGATGATGCGCGCTCGCCAATCCCGATTGCACGATAGCAGCTCTTGCGACGATGGTATTGCCACGCTGCAAGCCCAACACCCTAGTGCGAAGAATCAGGATGAGGAAGCGACAGATCCATTGCATTGCACTTCCACTGCACTTGTATCGAATCAGTCAACGGTTGGCTTCTCTACAGTGATCAGCTATATCTACTGTCCCTTTCAATATTAACAAGAGTTATTCATTTGTCTACTCCGAATGTTCAGGTCGTTTGGCATCAGCTGCTATGAAACAAGAACCTTGGTTCGTGTTGGAATAAGATTCGGGAATTTTTAAGCACGTATCACATCAAAAGTATCTCATTCAGAATTTTAGTGTTGGAAGGTACCAGACCGGTATGTCATGTCATCATGTCGTGGATACCTTGCAACTGAGCATGCACATCCAGTCCAGACTGCGCGGCATTGGTCACACTGTAATACTTAGTGTACAGGACCCTCCGCTCTGTGTTTGTACGCAATGCAAGCAGGGAAGATCAAGTGCAAGCTCTTTTGATTTCATACAGATGCTGGAGCTGCGATGTCAAAGCATGGAAACCAGTAGCGCCGCTGGCCATCGGGATCGCCATCGTCCACCATGGCTATGCCCTCCTGGATGGGGGGGAGAGCATGGGGGGGAGAGATTGGGGAAAGCATCGGAAGAGATTGAGGAGAGAATTAGGAGAGATTGGGGAGAGCATGGGGAGAGAGAAAAGGGGAAGACGAAAAGAAGACGACAGAAATGAAGGCAACTGAGAAAACGAAAGCCAACAGAGTAAACGGAAGCTAGCAGTGCATGTTCGAGTGCAGATGATGCTATTATTCACAACCATGGTGCTACAGTGCACAACCATGATGCTACAGTGCACAACCATGGTGCTACAGTACACAACCATGGTGCTACAGTGCACAACCACGGTGCTACAGTGCACAACCATGGTATGACACTGCATCATCTAAGGCGTGAGTGAATCAGAGGTTGCTCACACCACAAATCATGCAGCTACCAGAGCTTCGCATTTTCACTCAGTTGCTTTGTATGATGCAGCTAGTCCTACCGACAATCACAGAACGCAGTAGCAGCAGCACAGCACCTTGAGCAGGGCGTCAAGGGCATCGTTGATCCGGCCGTGCCTTTTGAGTCGACTCGTAAGTCACCTATTCACAGAATACAGTAGCAGCAGCACGGCACCTTGAGCAGGGCGTCAAGGGCATCGTTGATCCGGCCGTGCCTTTCGAGTCGACTCGTAAGTCACCTATTCACAGAATACAGTAGCAGCAGCAGGGCACCTTGAGCAGGGCGTCAAGGGCATGGTTGATTCGGCCGTGCCTTTTGAGTCGACTCGTAAGTCACCTATTCACAGAATACAGTAGCAGCAGCACGGCACCTTGAGCAGGGCGTCAAGGGCATCGTTGATCCGGCCGTGCCTTTTGAGTCGACTCGTAAGTCACCTATTCACAGAATACAGTAGCAGCAGCAGGGCACCTTGAGCAGGGCGTCAAGGGCATGGTTGATTCGGCCGTGCCTTTTGAGTCGACTCTTAAGTCACCTATTCACAGAATACAGTAGCAGCAGCACGGCACCTTGAGCAGGGCGTCAAGGGCATGGTTGATTCGGCCGTGCCTTTTGAGTCGACTCGTAAGTCACCTATTCACAGAATACAGTAGCAGCAGCAGGGCACCTTGAGCAGGGCGTCAAGGGCATGGTTGATTCGGCCGTGCCTTTTGAGTCAAATCAAAAGTCACCTAGTGCACCTCCATTCACAGAACGCAGTAGCAGCACAGCACCTTGAGCAGGGCGTCAAGGGCATCGTTGATCCGGCCGTGCTGCCATGATGTGGCTGAGAGAATGTCAGCGATGGTCACACACCCACGCGCCTGTCACATGCAGTGCAGGGCAGAGCAGGTAGTCAGGCCCGCAGAAGCAAGGAAGTAGATGCCATAAACCGTGCTGCCATTACACGGAAAAGAGAATGTTCGCAATGCTCACATACCCACGCGCGTATTAATTGTCTGAACCACAATACGATACACTGACTGCAGTGACCCAACTAAGCAGCTCAACAAGTAAACGACTCAGCAACCCAACAAAGACATAGCAGGCTTATCCGAGGAGATTCCCTCTGAGTCAATTCACCACACCGAAACACCTGAAGCAAATCAGCTGTGCAAATTCACCTGATCCCATTCACCTGATCCCATTCACCTGATCCCATTCACCTGATCCCATTCACCTGAACCCAATTATCTGAGCCTAGACAACTGAGTCTTGCATGTAAGGCCCAACTAGCTGGAACCAAGTCACCTGCGCCACGTCACCTGCGCCACGTCACCTGCGCCACGTCACCTGCACCACGTCACCTGCACCATGTCACCTGCGCCACGTCACCTGTGCGAGGCGGAGGATGTCGTTCTGGTCGGTGCTGAGCTCCCGAGGCAGTGAGCGCACCACACGTGCCGTTCCACAAATCGATAGCTCAACAACGCAACAACTCAAGAACTTAACAACACAGCAATTCAGCAACTCAACTGCTCACAACTCAGCTAGTCAGCAACAGCCTCCTTCAAGGAGATTGTTCTGTGAGTCGATTCACCACACCAATGCACACCTGAAGCTATTCACCTGTGCCAGGCGGAGGATGTCGTTCTGGTCGGTGCTGAGCTCGCGAGGCAGCGAGCGCACCACGTGTGCCGCCCCCACCTTCTCCACAGCGAACCCTCCTCCTAGGGACTGCCAATGGCAAGGGAGCGGAGAGGGGAAGCACTAAGGCTTGTGGTGCAGGAGGAGGTGTAGAGGCAGGAGAGTGGCACAACGTGTGCCGCTCCCACCTTCTCCACCGCTAACCCTCCTCCTAGGGACCGCAGACCACAGCAGTTGGTTGGGAAGACGAGGAAAGGCTTTTGAGACATCTCAAAGAGCGCACCATGTGTGCCGAACCCCTCTCCACCGCAAACCATCGTCCTAGGTACTGCCAATGACAAGGGAAAAGAGGGAGGAAGCACAGAGGGTTGTGGTGAAGGAGGAGGGTGTTTTTGAGTCGACTCAAAAACAGAGGGTTGTGGTGAAGGAGGAGGGTGTTGTTGAGTCGACTCAAAAACAGAGGGTTGTGGTGAAGGAGGAGGGTGTTTTTGAGTCGACTCAAAAACAGAGGGTTGTGGTGAAGGAGGAGGGTGTTGTTGAGTCGACTCAAAAACAGAGGGTTGTGGTGAAGGAGGAGGGTGTTTTTGAGTCGACTCAAAAACAGAGGGTTGTGGTGAAGGAGGAGGGTGTTGTTGAGTCGACTCAAAAACAGAGGGTTGTGGTGAAGGAGGAGGGTGTTGTTGAGTCGACTCAAAAACAGAGGGTTGTGGTGAAGGAGGAGGGTGTTGTTGAGTCGACTCAAAAACAGAGGGTTGTGGTGAAGGAGGAGGGTGTTGTTGAGTCGACTCAAAAACAGAGGGTTGTGGTGAAGGAGGAGGGTTGTTGAGTCGACTAGAAAACAGAGGGTTGTGGTGAAGGAGGAAGGGTGTTTTTGAGTCGACTCAAAAACAGAGGGTTGTGGTGAAGGAGGAGGGTGTTGTTGAGTCGACTCAAAAACAGAGGGTTGTGGTGAAGGAGGAGGGTGTTGTTGAGTCGACTCAAAAACAGAGGGTTGTGGTGAAGGAGGAGGGTGTTGTTGAGTCGACTCAAAAACAGAGGGTTGTGGTGAAGGAGGAGGGTGTTGTTGAGTCGACTCAAAAACAGAGGGTTGTGGTGAAGGAGGAGGGTGTTGTTGAGTCGACTCAAAAACAGAGGGTTGTGGTGAAGGAGGAGGGTGTTGTTGAGTCGACTCAAAAACAGAGGGTTGTGGTGAAGGAGGAGGGTGTTGTTGAGTCGACTCAAAAACAGAGGGTTGTGGTGAAGGAGGAGGGTGTTGTTGAGTCGACTCAAAAACAGAGGGTTGTGGTGAAGGAGGAGGGTGTTGTTGAGTCGACTCAAAAACAGAGGGTTGTGGTGAAGGAGGAGGGTGTTGTTGAGTCGACTCAAAAACAGAGGGTTGTGGTGAAGGAGGAGGGTGTTGTTGAGTCGACTCAAAAACAGAGGGTTGTGGTGAAGGAGGAGGGTGTTGTTGAGTCGACTCAAAAACAGAGGGTTGTGGTGAAGGAGGAGGGTGTTGTTGAGTCGACTCAAAAACAGAGGGTTGTGGTGAAGGAGGAGGGTGTTTTGAGTCGACTCAAAAACAGAGGGTTGTGGTGAAGGAGGAGGGTGTTGTTGAGTCGACTCAAAAACAGAGGGTTGTGGTGAAGGAGGAGGGTGTTGTTGAGTCGACTCAAAAACAGAGGGTTGTGGTGAAGGAGGAGGGTGTTGTTGAGTCGACTCAAAAACAGAGGGTTGTGGTGAAGGAGGAGGGTGTTGTTGAGTCGACTCAAAAACAGAGGGTTGTGGTGAAGGAGGAGGGTGTTGTTGAGTCGACTCAAAAACAGAGGGTTGTGGTGAAGGAGGAGGGTGTTGTTGAGTCGACTCAAAAACAGAGGGTTGTGGTGAAGGAGGAGGGTGTTGTTGAGTCGACTCAAAAACAGAGGGTTGTGGTGAAGGAGGAAGGTGTTTTTGAGTCGACTCAAAAACAGAGGGTTGTGGTGAAGGAGGAGGGTGTTTTGAGTCGACTCAAAAACAGAGGGTTGTGGTGAAGGAGGAGGGTGTTGTTGAGTCGACTCAAAAACAGAGGGTTGTGGTGAAGGAGGAGGGTGTTGTTGAGTCGACTCAAAAACAGAGGGTTGTGGTGAAGGAGGAGGGTGTTGTTGAGTCGACTCAAAAACAGAGGGTTGTGGTGAAGGAGGAGGGTGTTGTTGAGTCGACTCAAAAACAGAGGGTTGTGGTGAAGGAGGAGGGTGTTGTTGAGTCGACTCAAAAACAGAGGGTTGTGGTGAAGGAGGAGGTGTTTTTGAGTCGACTCAAAAACAGAGGGTTGTGGTGAAGGAGGAGGGTGTTTTGAGTCGACTCAAAAACAGAGGGTTGTGGTGAAGGAGGAGGGTGTTGTTGAGTCGACTCAAAAACAGAGGGTTGTGGTGAAGGAGGAGGGTGTTGTTGAGTCGACTCAAAAACAGAGGGTTGTGGTGAAGGAGGAGGGTGTTTTTGAGTCGACTCAAAAACAGAGGGTTGTGGTGAAGGAGGAGGGTGTTGTTGAGTCGACTCAAAAACAGAGGGTTGTGGTGAAGGAGGAGGGTGTTGTTGAGTCGACTCAAAAACAGAGGGTTGTGGTGAAGGAGGAGGGTGTTGTTGAGTCGACTCAAAAACAGAGGGTTGTGGTGAAGGAGGAGGGTGTTGTTGAGTCGACTCAAAAACAGAGGGTTGTGGTGAAGGAGGAGGGTGTTGTTGAGTCGACTCAAAAACAGAGGGTTGTGGTGAAGGAGGAGGGTGTTGTTGAGTCGACTCAAAAACAGAGGGTTGTGGTGAAGGAGGAGGGTGTTGTTGAGTCGACTCAAAAACAGAGGGTTGTGGTGAAGGAGGAGGGTGTTGTTGAGTCGACTCAAAAACAGAGGGTTGTGGTGAAGGAGGAGGGTGTTGTTGAGTCGACTCAAAAACAGAGGGTTGTGGTGAAGGAGGAGGGTGTTGTTGAGTCGACTCAAAAACAGAGGGTTGTGGTGAAGGAGGAGGGTGTTGTTGAGTCGACTCAAAAACAGAGGGTTGTGGTGAAGGAGGAGGGTGTTGTTGAGTCGACTCAAAAACAGAGGGTTGTGGTGAAGGAGGAGGGTGTTGTTGAGTCGACTCAAAAACAGAGGGTTGTGGTGAAGGAGGAGGGTGTTGTTGAGTCGACTCAAAAACAGAGGGTTGTGGTGAAGGAGGAGGGTGTTGTTGAGTCGACTCAAAAACAGAGGGTTGTGGTGAAGGAGGAGGGTGTTTTGAGTCGACTCAAAAACAGAGGGTTGTGGTGAAGGAGGAGGGTGTTGTTGAGTCGACTCAAAAACAGAGGGTTGTGGTGAAGGAGGAGGGTGTTGTTGAGTCGACTCAAAAACAGAGGGTTGTGGTGAAGGAGGAGGGTGTTGTTGAGTCGACTCAAAAACAGAGGGTTGTGGTGAAGGAGGAGGGTGTTGTTGAGTCGACTCAAAAACAGAGGGTTGTGGTGAAGGAGGAGGGTGTTGTTGAGTCGACTCAAAAACAGAGGGTTGTGGTGAAGGAGGAGGGTGTTGTTGAGTCGACTCAAAAACAGAGGGTTGTGGTGAAGGAGGAGGGTGTTGTTGAGTCGACTCAAAAACAGAGGGTTGTGGTGAAGGAGGAAGGTGTTTTTGAGTCGACTCAAAAACAGAGGGTTGTGGTGAAGGAGGAGGGTGTTTTTGAGTCGACTCAAAAACAGAGGGTTGTGGTGAAGGAGGAGGGTGTTGTTGAGTCGACTCAAAAACAGAGGGTTGTGGTGAAGGAGGAGGGTGTTGTTGAGTCGACTCAAAAACAGAGGGTTGTGGTGAAGGAGGAGGGTGTTGTTGAGTCGACTCAAAAACAGAGGGTTGTGGTGAAGGAGGAGGGTGTTGTTGAGTCGACTCAAAAACAGAGGGTTGTGGTGAAGGAGGAGGGTGTTGTTGAGTCGACTCAAAAACAGAGGGTTGTGGTGAAGGAGGAAGGTGTTTTTGAGTCGACTCAAAAACAGAGGGTTGTGGTGAAGGAGGAGGGTGTTTTTGAGTCGACTCAAAAACAGAGGGTTGTGGTGAAGGAGGAGGGTGTTGTTGAGTCGACTCAAAAACAGAGGGTTGTGGTGAAGGAGGAGGGTGTTGTTGAGTCGACTCAAAAACAGAGGGTTGTGGTGAAGGAGGAGGGTGTTGTTGAGTCGACTCAAAAACAGAGGGTTGTGGTGAAGGAGGAGGGTGTTGTTGAGTCGACTCAAAAACAGAGGGTTGTGGTGAAGGAGGAGGGTGTTGTTGAGTCGACTCAAAAACAGAGGGTTGTGGTGAAGGAGGAGGGTGTTGTTGAGTCGACTCAAAAACAGAGGGTTGTGGTGAAGGAGGAGGGTGTTGTTGAGTCGACTCAAAAACAGAGGGTTGTGGTGAAGGAGGAGGGTGTTGTTGAGTCGACTCAAAAACAGAGGGTTGTGGTGAAGGAGGAGGGTGTTGTTGAGTCGACTCAAAAACAGAGGGTTGTGGTGAAGGAGGAGGGTGTTGTTGAGTCGACTCAAAAACAGAGGGTTGTGGTGAAGGAGGAGGGTGTTGTTGAGTCGACTCAAAAACAGAGGGTTGTGGTGAAGGAGGAGGGTGTTGTTGAGTCGACTCAAAAACAGAGGGTTGTGGTGAAGGAGGAGGGTGTTGTTGAGTCGACTCAAAAACAGAGGGTTGTGGTGAAGGAGGAGGGTGTTGTTGAGTCGACTCAAAAACAGAGGGTTGTGGTGAAGGAGGAGGGTGTTGTTGAGTCGACTCAAAAACAGAGGGTTGTGGTGAAGGAGGAGGGTGTTGTTGAGTCGACTCAAAAACAGAGGGTTGTGGTGAAGGAGGAGGGTGTTGTTGAGTCGACTCAAAAACAGAGGGTTGTGGTGAAGGAGGAGGGTGTTGTTGAGTCGACTCAAAAACAGAGGGTTGTGGTGAAGGAGGAGGGTGTTTTGAGTCGACTCAAAAACAGAGGGTTGTGGTGAAGGAGGAGGGTGTTGTTGAGTCGACTCAAAAACAGAGGGTTGTGGTGAAGGAGGAGGGTGTTGTTGAGTCGACTCAAAAACAGAGGGTTGTGGTGAAGGAGGAGGGTGTTGTTGAGTCGACTCAAAAACAGAGGGTTGTGGTGAAGGAGGAGGGTGTTGT